TCTCTCTAGAACACATGAAAATAGCATGTTTGACAACGTGCTGTACGATATCGAACGTGACAGACAACGTGCCATATGTTGTGATCTGAACAGATCTGAACAATGAAAATACAATGTGCAAATAGGGAAAGTATAGTATCAGGATTTGAAGCGAGGTCAGCATTTTACCTTGAGGTACTTATGTAAAGAATTGTTAAGACACATGGAACTTTAGCAAACAGCTACATGTTTTGAATTGATCGTGACAGCGTGCTTAAGAGTAAATGCCCCCACCTTCTAGTCACAGGTAGGCCTATTGCCCCCCCCCCCCCCCCATTTAATTACAGAATAGATGCCAATTGTTTCCTACAGGTATATGTCTCCAACCACCATCCTTGTGACATTGACTCAAAGCCATGTATAAATGTCTAATTCCCTGGCTTCATGCATATCCTCAAAATAAACTGTGTATTTAATGTTTTCATTTTTCAAGTTGGATCATAATCGTAGCTTTCTTCAAAGTACACTGTGAAATAGGGGTGCGGCTATATTTTCTTGGATGTCAGCACTTGGTTACAATGGAACAAGTCTACTGGGATTATTTTGCTCATTTTGCAGCCATTTGTAATGGATTACATTAGAGAAAGAGTAATTTTGCCCCAAAAGGCAGGTTTTACTCATGTGAAAATTAGTATGGAACATTCCAAGTATCCTTGGTTGATGTGTTTCTTCCCAGCGACAACGGCATACCAGACATTCCAATCCATTGTACCTGGTGTCTTGGGCGGACTTCCAGACCACCTGAAATCCAGACACCGGGGACAATAGGACAAGTTGATTTAGTGTAATCCTTACACAGTGGTGACGACCCCTTGATCTCAAGAAGCTATTAGTGTTTTACTAAATGTGAGCTGCCACTCCCAGTGATATTTTGGAATCGTGTTTTTTTATCTTTTTTATTTGTTAAGAAAAATGTTCTTAAGAACGTTATGTTGCTATCATCTGGAGAAAGGAAATAAGGCAAGGAAATAAGGAAGGAAGAAAGACAAGAAATGGAGAGCAGAAGTACATGTATGCTTGATTCACTATATTCTTTTGAAACTTTCCAATATGCCTGTGTAAGCTTTAGATAGATTTATGCATTTTGTTTTCGACACCCCCCCCCCATCCCTACTCGATCCCCAAAGTTGAACAGTACCTTTAAATTCTGGAAAAATTGACATTTAGAGAGTATTCTTGCATCATACTTTTTTATTGATTTATTAGCCTAAAGTTCAACATGTCAGATGCATTCGGAACTGATGAAGGAGGAAAACCCCTTTTCAAATTCCTTCCCTTTCTTGTATATTCCCCTTGTAAGGTACCCCTTTTGACATTTCATAAATTATAGTATTTCCCCCTGAACTGCCTAATATCAAGTGACTTAAAGGCTTCTCGACATGAAATTGAACTCCTTGGGAGCGGAAATATCACGATGGCAATTTGGTTTGTGGGGTAGGGCTGGTCGACATGACAGGCCAAAGGTGTGGTTTAATAGAGAGTAGAAAATTTGATCAGAAGGAAAGTAAACTCATAAATGTAATGGAAGTTGAACATGTACATGTAGACGCCTATTACCTTGGTCAAATATTATTACAGTATCATTCACGGATCCAGGCACTTGTTTTCAGCTTTATTTCACATTACTCTAGATTTAACAGTGAGCTGTTGATTCCTTCTTACTTTGGAAAGGTTATTTCCTTGAAATATTGTTTATTTCACTTTTTTTCTTTTACAGCAGGAAGTGTATCATGAAAATGTGGATGTTCAAGATATTTTTGTGACTGAAACATTCACTTCATGAAATATAAGATGTTATTTTCAAAAGAAAAGATTTATAAGCAATGATTTTTGGAGACATGCACGGAATGTTTTTTCTGCAATCATTAATTGATTGTCAAGTCGGCCAGAGGAATTGATGATGGGCTGTATACCCTGTACAAGCCAGTCTTTGACTGCTTCAAAACAAGGTACCTTGATAAATGCAATCCATTGAGGGGCAGTTGGCAACCCCCAGCAGTATATCGAATCCTGCCGTAATCCAACCATCTGCTACCGATTCCAATAGAGCGATCAACGGTTTGGCAAGTTATCCTGGAAGGGGGCCTGTAACCACTTCTGGGTGATTTACATGTGCTGACACTTCAAGACAATTCAGTTTGAGAACTCCATTTACATGTACTTTCAATCTTTCAGAAAACATCCCTCTATAATGATCCCTGACTACCATCATTTGATCCTAAATGTGTTGTTTAAATGCATTTGTTAGTGGGTCTATGAACAAAGTTGGAGAGAATGTTACGAGTAAGATTTTCAGTCAAATTGCAGCAATATTATCACACAACTCTTTCTTGAGTAGAAAACAGTAATGGAGGATAAAGTTTACCTTTTTTCCAAGAACACGCACCAAAAGAAAATCAGGAGCCACTGCTCATACAATCCATACCTCTTCTTGTACTGCTTAAATGATATGGATGATGGATATGTTTATGAATTAAATGATGCCCAACATTACCTCACTTGAAGTTATGGAGAGCATTTTTTTTTTTTGGAGTTGATGATTCAGAGTGATTTGAATGTACCCAGTACCCATCCTTTACCACAAAGCAAAGTTTCTGAAATCCATTTACATTTGATTGAGGAATGGAAAAACACCTCAGGAAATATTTTTACAGATTATGTTTTGCAAAGGGTTTTTATTCTCTTCTTTTATCAAATATTTTGTCTTAAGTTATATACAAGGCCTTTTATAGCATTATCTTCATAATTATTCAAATTCACCCTTTTTTTTTGGCTGTCCTTTTTCATCTTACCTCACCTATTTATAGTGATTTTCCTTCTCTTCTCTTCTCTATAGTTTAATTTCCTATGTAGTTCAGTTGGAGCCACAAAGAATGGTGGCTCAAGGATAGGAGTAATGTTGAGAAGTGATATTGAAATAGACCCTTCATGATTTGTAAGAGCTGTTATGGTTTTGATAACAACGATAGCAAAATTGATATTTATGGACAGGTGATGTTTTATGCATATCTGTAAGGTTTGAAAACAGACCTTTGCAGCTTCATGTGCGACAAACAGTTGTGAAAACTGTGAAAAAAAGCTGTTGTTACATCTTTTGTGTGTTCAAAACCCAGCCCAGTGCACTTTCCCCTCAAGCAAGCCATTTTAAATTCAGCTGCCTCTCTCAACCCGGGTTTCTGAATAGGTAACCAGTGGAAAGAAATTCTTTGACTGAATGCTTTTGTGTGTTCCTTTGGTAACTTAGAGTTATAATAAAGTCAGGGTTAATTATGCATGGTTTGAATCTCTTGGCAAAAGACACTATCAAGTCAATAATTAGTATTACTTTGATTGATGTGTCCTATCCTTTAACTTGTTATTGAGTTGAAATATATGACATTCAAGGTGAGAGCACTTTACTCACAACGAGGGAAGCAAATCTCATATAATCATACATGTAGGTCCTAGGTCGTTTGTCATTGTGTTCTTATGAAAAATAAAAAATATGCCAAGTAATTAATTAATAAGCAAATTGGCAATTTAGGAGGCATATATTTCAGATAACAACGTTCAATATGCTTAGAGCTAATACTTAAGGTCGAACACTTAAAGGTCAAACTAAGGTCACAGCACGTTTCTTGATTCCAATGCAGTTGCAAAAATATTAGTGCAACAGTAGAAAATAAAATCAAGTCTTCTTCTTCCCCAAATGACAAAAATAGATGTAACCAGGTTTTACAAGGAATTGTTTTCGTTGTCTGGAAACTTATATTTTGTCCTAGCATACAACCGAATCTGATTGAGAATTGTTTTATATGAGATCTCTACCAGCGAGTAAAACTGAGAAACGAACCAGACTTCTACCCCGGGATTGTTGATTGAAAGGAACAGCACCTGCTGAGCAGGGCATTGTTCACATTGGTGTTTTCTATTTGATTTCCTTTCCTTTCAGAATTCGAAGTTAGTGTTGCAAGGTTTACCAATGTTTCTCATATTTAGCTGGGCTAGAAGAGCGAAAATTGTTTGTGATCGAGAAATGAGAACAAAGTTATGATGCTGCCAAATAAGTCGTTTGAGAAGAAACGGCGGCGGCAAAAGAAGGGGACCCAAAACGGAAATCCAATCAACAGAGGAATGCTACTTCATTTCTGGGTAGATTTTTATGGTTTTCTCCCTCTGTTACTTGCCAAACTATCAACATGTCTCTCAAATAACCTTCGAGTAGCAAAATGAAATTGACTAGGGACTTGACTGAGGTACTTCGAGGGGCAGGCAGATAATAGTGAAATATGTAGAAAATTGCTGTGGATTGCTATGATGAAATTTGTTTTCCGATGAAAGATGTGTTTTGATAGATTGGTTTGACATCATGTCATGAGGGTAAGAAGTGTCACGCTAAGTTCCACATGATCCTGCCAAGTATTCCGAGGTGTGTTTTTTTCTTCCTGCAATGTTATGTGACAGTTTGGCAAAAAAATAGTTTCATAAAAATGTTAGTAAAAGTCCAATGGGTAGGATTACATAGCTCATTGTTGTGTATGAAGTGCCATGTGTGATCATGATGACATATTGGGATGGGATAATGATCTTTTAGATATCTGTCGATGATGGACACTTTCGGGACTATCATTCCAAACCTGTTGACATGGTGATGAAAATGGAATGTGATGGTTTGATTGGTTATGGCTTCAGTGGAGTGAATAATTTGTGATGATGATGATGCGGTGATGATGATGTCATAATGACAGAGGACTGTTGCTAATTTTCTGGGGCCTAGGAGGAAAGTTTGACACTGAAAATTAATCTCTCGATCAGCATGAGCATATGACATTGATGATCTCTCCCAGAAAGTTGTCAATGTCAACCTTAGATTTAATCAGGGACAAACCATAGTCTCACCGCAGTTCAATAATTAGACGATGAAAAACAGCTAATAATTTCTCGCTTTCTCTTTTTTTATCTTCCATTTTTCTTTTAAACAGATTGCTGATTTTGGTCTTTCAAGTTACTACAGTGACAATGATCTACTGCATACGTTCTGTGGAAGCCCACTCTATGCTTCTCCTGAAATTGTGAATGGTCAGCCATACCACGGTCCAGAGGTGAATAGATAAACAGAAATAAACCAGGGGGGGGGGGGCGTTTCACAAAACTTTTCATCAGTGACAAATGACAGTTTTTGTTATAAGCTACTGAAATCCTTGCTTCTGATTGGTTATCAGCAGATTTGTCACTGATATTTGTCATTTGTCATTGAAAAAAAGGCTTTGTGAAATGGGTCCCTGAAGAATGTAGACTTTACAATAAGAGATGGTTGAGGAGGGAATCACTGAAGAGATTCATATGAGTGGCACAGGGAACCTTCTGTGATAAACATTCCGGAAATTATCTGTTTTGTGGTAAACTTTCACCTACTCAATTCTGCAAGCTCCTTTGAGCTGTAATGAGAGCTGCAATGGTTATGTCATAGATGGAGCTATTGCATTTTATGCTGAATGTAATAAATGCATACACAGAAATAATGGGCCAATTCATTTTATCTTCAGTATAAGATCCCATTTCACTAGGCTTTCAACTTCAAAAGAAATATCTCCCTCTAGTATGAACAGACATACACACACCCTGATTAAGATTTTGGTGGAAGAAAAAGCTTGCAGATTGATGCAGAATACACCAGGCAACAGCCTATTAACAAGACAACAGTCTTGAATGTGCTAAAAAATGTGCCTCATTGTACCAGTTACCTGCCCATCTCATATCCATTCATATACAGTCAAACCTGTCTACAGCGACCGCCCAAGGGAAACACAAAAAGTGGTCTTTGTATACAGGTGGTCTTTGTAGACAGGTTCCTGTAGTACATGTTTCAATGAGAAACCATTTTCAAGGGAAACAAAAAAGGTGCTTGTTGTAAACAGGTGGTCACTAAAGCAGGTTTGACTGTACATGTAACTTTTTTGTTTTCTAAAGGTAATTTTTTGTCTGATTCTCAGGTTGATTGCTGGAGCCTTGGTGTGATCCTGTATGCCATGGTTTACAAGACGATGCCCTTTGGAGGGGATGACTTCAACCATCTCAAGAAACAGATCACGGAGGGCCGATACTATGATCCTTGTCCTGGCTCAGGTGGGTTGATAACGAATGATCAAGACTGAGGATATCACGGTATCCCCTAACTCATACTTAAAGGCATCGTTTAACAACATTAAATTTGAGATGCATGGCCCTACGTGTTATCAGTGTCTGTGATATGGTGAAATATTAAAGCCCTAAAAAAAAATTGCACTTCAAAATGATCCAGAAGTGCCTCAAAAAAAGTAAAAATCTTTGATTGACCGGTTTTACCATACTCATTTTCCCTTATAGATTGTCGTGTTATGAAAAACCGTTAGGCAAACGCAACATTTGGTTTTGATTTACAATCATAAATATCTTGATAATCGGCTTGTTAAAGTCATGGAATCCTGACTGACCTAAAGGTTTATAATTATCATTGCAGCATGAGCTAAATTCAAGATTTTGTTTCAGAATCTGAGACAAAGTTACCCAATCCCTTTAATAATCAATGATCAAGACTAAGGATATCACAGTATGACCTGACTCATACTTAATCTCCGATATTCTAAGGGTCAGGGTTAGTTTCAGGGTTAGGAGGCATAAAGTAAAGTATGACCTGAAGAGATTTGAATAAATGTCTGGTTGATTTGACCCCTCCTTGCTAAGCCATGTTGACCAAGGGTCTGAGTTTCCCAGGATCCAAGAACAGCCAATGTTACATGGAAGGATGTTGGTGAAGTTCAAATTAGGTTTAGAATAATATTTATGTTATTAAAAAAACAATTTTTTCTTTATTTTGAATTTTCATGATATTATTAAGTGTAACCATTTTGACTTTCTTGAGTTTGATGTAAATATTAAGAAGTGGCCGAGGATTTAAGTTGAAAAACGTATCTATGATTATGCAATTATCACAAACTGCTAGAAATGCAGGAATAGCAAGAAATAATTAGGGATGATAAAACAACTTTTATTACATTGAAAATCAGTTGGTAAGAAAGGAGATTTGTTAGCACAGTACTCTTTTTGCAAATGCTTCCATATGAGTATTGCTATGATGAAGTGAAGAAAGTAACCATGCAATTTCTATTGTTTTGTCTCTACAGTGCAATCCCAGCTGATCAGACATCTCCTGTCAGTAGACCCTCGATACCGAGCAACCATCTACGACGTGGCTCACCATCCTTGGGTGTTTGGTGAGGAGGCGGATGAGATGCTGACCAACGAGCTAGCTTCTTCCATCAGAGGACAGAGCATAGACTCCTTGAAGGACAGGGAGAGCACGGAATCTAGCGACACGGAGAGCGAGAGCAAGCCTGCCGTTGTGGCTGTGAAACCAACAAGTATTCTGAAGGGTACTTCCCAGGACAGTGATGCAATGGTAGCCGTGGAACAGCCTCATGAGGAATCCACTTTGGTACAGGAACAACCAAAGGTGTCAAATGCTAGCAAAGACTCAGATAGTGATTCTCCGAGCAGTCCAGTTGTACTCCAGGCCAAAGGATTACCGAAGGTCAAGGGAGTGATACAGAACGAAACGGACAGCTTCTTGAGCTTAGCTAGTTCAGCCGCAACCCTTCCATCAGAAGGCTCCAGTGCAATAAGCAATGACAGTGTCTTTGATAGTGCAGATGTTTTTCTGCCGGCGACAGATGTTGTGAAGCGAAGGCCAGAACATGTTAAGACAGTCAAAACCCAAAGACCGGCAACCGTAGGTGCTCTTTACAGCGATCTTCCATCCCCTAGGACATTGGTCAATCAACTCATCGGAGAAGACACCATCTTTGAGTGTAGTGAAGAAGAGAAAAGAGCGAGTGCACGCTTGTCAAAGCGTATATCTTGTGGCAAGTACTCTAAGATTACTGAACTTTGGGAATCCATCTTCAATGAGTCCCACCACCTACAGGCAATGATGTCATCCAAATCGCCAAAGTCTGGATCTGGATCCGATGAGAGCCCAGGTTCCAGCTCAAGCGAGGATCTCCTGGAGATCTTGAACTCTAAACATCTCAAGAAGAGCTACAGCAGCTCCTTCAAGTTGACGAGGCACAGCTTCTCGAGCCACCGGCGATCCATGCGCACACACAAAGAAATGGTCATCATGGAGGCGCACCAGCTTCAGATGAGGTCGGAGTCTCTGTTCGAGAAGCCAGAATTCCGCAAGGGAACCCGAGATTCAGGACTCGGTGATGACCTAGAGAACTTGGCAAAGGTTTACCAGAAAGCGTTAGAGATCTCTAGCAGTGTCAATTGAACTCTGTGCCCCATTTAAAAGATAATTATAGAAATGTTAAGGTTAGTCAGATAGAAGAAAGTCATTGTGAACTGTGGGCAAAAAAAGTTTCGATCCTTTTTCTTTTCTTCAAGGTACAAGCCTCAAGAAGGTACAAGCCTTAATTTTCATACAAATGCTATAGCTAAGTCTCTCCCTTAAGTGTTTTGGGCTTCAGATCGGACACTGGATCTCTGCTAGAGGTGGTTCAAGTATTAAGCCTATAGATGGGATTGAGATAATTGAATAGTCAACAGGTTGATTAAATGTTATTACTTGTAGAGATCATTTCGTTGTCTTGGTTTTAAAATTATATGCTTTATTACATGAATCATGTTTATCGCAGGGATTTGGGATGATTTGAAATCTTAATGCTAGTACAAAAAAGCATTCCATCTGATAGATGTTATACCGGGTCAATTCTTTCTGGTTTTTACGGATAGGTGTATCATGATGTTACTGAAAAAAAAAGTTTATCAAATTGGAAGATATGCAAAATTGCAATGCACCTTTTTTCATTGGAATGAGTATGTTAGTGTCTAGCACATCTCAAACAATATATACTAATTTCAGCCATCTCTTTATAATCACCTTCCATAACTATCACTTTCCTACTAGTTAATGCTATTTATTTAATTAACGTGAAATTCAGAGATATATCTTGCCATGATGTACTGTATAATTTTATCTATTTTAATTGCTAATTTGATGAATATCTCATTGTTGATTCGATTTTGGTGCTCTTCTCAAAGTCTTTCTGTATTTTTGTTAAGTGCCATGCATTAGAGTATGCCTAAAATGTCCTTGACTCTTCGAGTTTTGTGTCCAATGAACAATTTCTTTCTGTGTGAGCCTTTGAATTGCAATCTCTATTGCAATAAATAAAAAAAAAACTGACAGTTGAATTCATGCACTTACATTTACTGGGTGAACCTGTAGAGGTATCATACATAGAGGGCGCTATACTGTTATTCAGAATGGATCAGTTTTGTTACCATAGTACACTTGTCTTTCCCTTCAGTGATTTCAAAACGTAAATTATTGAATTTTTTTGGTAAAATATGCTTTCAGGCTCACTTTGAAAAGTGGATATGCAGGTATGCTTCACAATACTTTCACAATATCTTTGGTTCATCTGCTTTTATACTTATGATTATAAGTACTAAAGGTTGAAAGGTTAAATAGGCAAATAATAAGTTATATTACCTATTTGCATCTTTCTCAATTAATTGCCAGGATATGTTTCAGGTCTCAGATACATAGAAAAATGATACAATTTTATTCTTATTTTTGTTAGTATTCCTCCACCCACATATAATTTCATGTATTTAATTTAATCTCTCTTTATTATATATCTGCTATATTATCTCAAATGTAATACTAAAGAAATTTCTCAGCATAAACAGATAATTAAGCTATTTTCAGAATGCAATTCTGGTGATAATTTGTATTGATTACTAAAAAGAATGAAGCTACATAATGAGTATATGATAATGAATAATATATGTTGAGGACACAAACAGTTATGTGAGTGCAATAATCGATAACTCCTTTATCTCAATTGTTTATCGTTGGTTCATTCTTTAACTCCGATTGCTTGGTTTGTGGATAGTTTCACTAAATCATGCAACATTGTATGGCATTTTCTAATTGTATTTTATACAAATCGAATCACTATCTGCAAGTATTATTTGCTGATGAGCATTTTGTGTGTTTGTGTGTGTCATGAAACATTTGCTGTAGAAGTGAACTTCGAATCTGTCCTGCTAAGTGATAGTAAGTTTGAAAATTTTAGTTCGATGTTTTGATTTGCTTTTAAACAATTCTTTGAAATATTCAAGCAAAATTGACAATTATTTAGTGACTTCAAGGTCTAAACTTACCTTCTTGTCTCCATTAATCTTGTACAGGGACATACAAAGTATCTATCACTTATGTTTGGGACAAATATTTCTTGTGAATATTCTGGTTTTTTGCTCTTCACACTTAAATGATTTCAGTTTGCTCAAAGTAAGTATAAAGGCATGTTTTTCATGCTTGATAGTTCGAAAAGGAATGCAATGTCATTTTGTGTGTGTGACATGAAGTATAATCTTCGAATTAGTATGTGATTTAATCATTATGCCATTAGATTGGACACTGATGGTGCAACACTTTAATAGATAATCTTAAGATATAGAAAACAATTTCAAACATTTCATTTTAAAATCGCCAAATTTTGGACTATTAATACTTCAGTTGCCTTCTTTCATCGACCAAATATTATTTTTGTTCGCAATGCGATGAGGTTAACAAAGTAAATGAAAAATAGCAACCCGGCTACTTGTCCAGGTAACAAAACCATTATGAGACGAGACAGAATTTTGCCAAAGATATACATGATGAAATATGAACTGATTGATATAAAGAAGCGTAACCGTATACTAATGAAATGTTCTTGGTCAATAACTTTGTATTTTTATACAAATGTAACTGCATGAATTAAATGATATTTAGCATTTTTATTCAGGTTTATGATAATCCAGAAAAACGTCTGATACTTGTGGTAGTTTGATAACCTTCATATATATTATGGAAATAAAATTTCCCACGTAATAATATAGAACTGCTGTGTGCTTCGATTCTTTTATTGTGTGCAATTTGTTTTACTTTTGAAAGTATTGTCGATGATTCATAAGCAATCATCAACCTGATCCTCAATTGCCTGTCGAACTTTATAATTTCGAGCAAATAATGATAATCCCAACCTATATATACGCTGTTGGTCATAATGGTGGAATAATTATTTTTACCCCAATTTATGGAATGATTTTGACAATGATTTATTCCTAATAGATCTAGATAATAGTATACATTCTCAGATTTTATTGAATGACAATTGGGGAGTGTTTGTTTTGCGTGACTGCTAAAGCATGTGTGTGCTACTATGCTCATCAACTAGGGGACCTACGTCATTAAGTCGTAACTGACAGTAATGGGGATTAATGCCTCATAAAAGGGCACTAATATAGCACATCGACACGGTTTGATCCTGGGGGCTCACAGTAACGAGGCCATTGCTTAGCCAATAAATCATGACTATATGCAGTGGGCGCTAGGGTACGTCGACGCCCCCTCAAAAACAAAAAACAAAGAAAATGCAATATATTTCAAATAATTCATTGCATTTTCCCCCAGTCCCAAAAAGGAAAAATTCCTCTGTAGGGCCATGCATTATGGTTCAAGTCATTCCCACATAGAAGATTTTTTTTTTTTTTTTTTTTTTTTGGGGGGGGGGTCTATTAGGAATAAATTATTGTCAAAATCATTCAATAAATTGGGGTAAAAATAATTATTCCACCATTATGACCAACAGTGTATATACGGGAGATCTTCTCAACAGATTGAAGAGCGCCATCTAAGACGGAATCAAGAAGTATTACCCCCTAGGACAACTACCCCCGGACAACTACCCCCCCCCCCCCCTCCCCAGACAACTACCCCCTAGGATAGTTGTCCGGAGGGTAGCTGTCCTCGAGGATGGTTGGGGTAGTTGTCCGGGGGGGGGGGGGTATTGATTGCCCGATTTTTGTAATTAGAAAATGACCGGCATTTTCTTCAACTTTGATTTGCATACCAAGTAGTTTACCACTTTTATGATTATTTTCGATATAGATTATTACCGGTCCTGCTTTAATAAAGCAGAGACATGCCCTGGTTAAAACATGGCTTTGGCATGCTCCCTATGAAACTTTTTTTTATTTTAGTTGAAAGTGGAATGAAAAAAAGTCATTAAGAATGACAAATTAATATACACTGTCACTCATATAGGTGGAATATTTTTGTTTTACCCCATTTATGGAATTAATTTAAAAATAATTAAAACATAATAGATCTAGATAAAAGTATACATTCTCAGATTTTATTGAATAATAATTTGCAAATGTGTGTTTTGCGTGTGTATGCTTCTATGCTTATCAAATAGGGGACCTACGCCCTTAAGTCATAAATGACAGTAATGAGGATTAATGCCCCACAAAAGGGCACTAATATAGCATATCGACACGGTTTTGATCCTGGGGCCTCACAGTTACGAGGCCATTGCTTTGTCACTAAACCATGACTGTACGCAGCGGGGCTAGGGTAGGGGGCAGTTTCCATAAATTTAAAAAAAAACAGAAAATGCAATAATTTTTCAATAATTTATTGCATTTTACCCCGGTCCCCAACAGAAAAAAATCCTGTGTGTGCCCATGCCTTGAGCCATAATGCATGGCCATCCATCGATGTGCTATATTTAGTGCCCTTTTATGGGGCATTAATCCTCATTACTGTCATTTATGACTTAAGGGCGTAGGTTCCCTATTTGATAAGCATAGTAGCATGCACATGCTTTAGCAGTCACGCAAAACACACATTGTCAAATTATTATTCAATAAAATCTGAGAATGTAAACTATTATCTAGATCTATTATTTTTTTAATAATTCCATAAATTGGGGTAAAACAAAAATATTCCAACTTTATGAGCGACAGTGTAGTTTAAAATCATATCCACGGTACAATACTCCTTTGTCCTTCCTTCCTCTCCTTCCCTCCACTCTTTCTCTCTCAATATTCACTATCTAGTTCCTCTCTCACTCTCTCTCTCATTTCACGTTTTGTAATTATTTTGTCTCCCTTTCTCTCTTTCACTCCCTCTCCTCTTCCCTTTTTCTCATCCACGCTTTCCTCGATCCCCTTTGATCTGTCTCCTTTCTCACTTTATCTTTCCTTCCCTACCCCCCCCCCCTCCCCTCCCCCTCTCTCTCTCTCTCCCTCTCTCTCTCTATCTCTCTCTCTCTCTCTCTCGCTACTCTCTTTATCCCTTCCCCTTTCTCGCAAATCTCTCATGTCTTTCCTCTTCCTCGCCCCTCCTCCCAAAGCATTATATCTCCCCCCTCCTCTCTCTATCTTGTTCTTTTCTTCTGATTAGCTATCTCTCACTTCCTTTCTCTCTCTCTCTCTCTCTCTCTCTCTCTTTCTCTCTCTCTCTCTCTCTCTCTCTCTCTCTCCAAATTTGCCGACAAGTATATGAATTCACAGATAATCTAATAATAATAAGATTCCACTTTTATATAGCGCTTAATACATCTTCGATTTCTCTAAGCAGCTTCCAGATATACTAAAATATAATAAAAGAAAACGAAAGAGAAAAAAACGAACAAGCATTGCAGACGTGATAATGGGGTTGCATAATTTCTTTTTTTATTTAGATCTGATTTACTAACAGATATTTCATTTGACTCGAACTCTAGCTTTCAACTCGGGCATCGACGAGCAATCATCACCAGAGGGAGCTATTGACACTCTTTCATCAGAGTAAAATAAATTTCCCTTTAAGCTTTTGCATCAACACCAAATCTTGATCACAATTTCCGTGGATAGCAGATTGTGCAGAGTGTGTTTAACGCTGCAACCCCTCTTACGCAAAATAAACAACATCAAAGTTTAAGCGTAAATGGAAGCATTTCCTTGTCAAACCAAACATAAGAATAAAATCATAATCTAAATCACACAAAAATGGAAACAATGTGTATACACTGATTGTGATACCCTGTATGAGACCCAATCAATCAAGATCACATATTTATTGATTAGTGGTGCAGACACAGAAAATAAGCGAAAACTTTCGAGATAATCGACCCCCTTTTTGTATACTGTCATACGTGTAGATTAGATTTCTTCTTAACTCCAGAACAGATCGCAAATGTTGATTTCATGTTTTGGCCTGAATTTCTTTGTTACGTTTTACATTAAAAATGTTCGAGTATTTTAATGAAGTAAAATAAAAACAACAAATGAATGATGAAGAAAATGCAAATGACTCAAGCAAAGTGAAACAGCAAATTGTGACTGAACGAAATCGCTAGTGATTTAAAAATGAAACAGAATAAACTGTTTATAGATCCTTTTCATGACACAGAGTGACAAAACCAAATCTAGATCTTCTTCTTGCTTTGTAATAGTCATTCAGAGGTGAATACGGAGACCAAATAAAAATGAATTTAAGTCAATAAGCAGACTCTGTTTTTTCTCTGTTGCTACAAACGATTGAATATAAAAATAACGCATAAGCCTAACAAATAAGTACCCACGAAAAAGAAAACATCAAAGCTATATAAAAGTCGAATTGCTATACATTCTGCTTTAGTTTAAGTCAAGTTGGCAAGAAAGAAAACAACACGTCAAATAATTTTAAATTCATAATAATAAAATTAAATATAACCATTTAATACTAATCAAAACATTTCCCTTCTAATTTAGCTCAGCATGTTGTTCAAAAACATAGTGATCACCAGGAAATAGTTCTGAGATATCATAATCTTCTGCACAGTCAATGAGTTCTTTCCAATCGATTACATTATGTACAACAACAAAAACAACTTTTCTTGTGCTGACTTAGGAGTCCATAAGCAAGTGTACACGACTACTAATAATTATAACTTTCTATAATTCACATGTATTACAACGTATTTGCACGCTACCCAACATACAATATCAACATATTTTTTTTCAAATAATCTTTTTTTTCTTTTTTTTTTCTTCTTTTTTTTTCTTGTATTTATTATTGACCTTTCTTTTCTTATATCTTTGTTAGTGTTATATCTCCTTCATGTTCTTGGAAATGAAATAAAAGGAAAAAATGAAAGTGAAAAAAATATGAAAAAACAACTAGATATGTTTTGCAAAGTCACGTCAATTTCACTCTTTAATTAAAATGAATTGTCAATAACGACTTTAGAATACAATCACATCAATATTTGTCGATAACTCATCAGTTTTGAGCAGGAGAATATTGCAAACAAGATTTATCATTGATTGTCACGCCAATTACACGCATATGGATTTATTTGCATTTATCACCTCACAATACATGTTTCTTCAGTAATCCCTACTTTTTCCTCGTTTCGGTTCACTTATTCAGTCCTTTACGTCTGTTTTTTAGAAATCTTGAATTGTGCGTTTCCTTTCTTAATTGCATTTGATGGAACTGAACTTTCAGTACCACCATCAAAGTTAATCAACTACAACCATGGACCTGCCCCGTTTGTAACAGTCTCCCGGACCGGCGGAATTTTCAGGTCCCAAATTACCAATTTCAAATTTTCCTTTGGGAGAATGGTATAGTATAATTTGTACATGGATTTATACAAACGATATTGGAACTCTCATGAGACTAAGACCAGGCTTTGGCGTATCAGTATGCACTTTGGACAATACTAGAAACATCAAACACGCCCTCTGCCTCTGTCGATTTTTACCTCCATTGATGCCCACTAAAAGTAATGCTGATCCCGCACGTGTTACGGCGATATCACCATTCGCGCGATTTACAGTTTCTTGAAAGTGGTAAGAACCATGGATTTTTTAATTGATAAACACTTTCATCTTCCAGGAATATGTAAGGCATTGAAATCGCTATCTGCCATTTGGATACCACTTAACGGCCCATGAGAGCAATTCAGCAGGTTCGATGTCAGCGGAATAATGCGATTCTTCTTTAGCTTCGACAAAAGAGCAATTCAGTGGCGTCTAATTTCATCTCAAATTCACCTGTGTTGTAGCATAATATTACAGAATCCTGAAGAGCCAGATCTGCTCTGAATAAGGAGGTTTGATGACAAAACTAATGTCGTAAATAATGAATGCCATTCTTGGTCATTTTTGTACTATGAATGTTATTTGGTTTAACTTTCTTGCACGTGATAGTACGGTATCTAAGTATTGTTTGTCAAAAAGTAGGCGTTCTGTAAACATAGTTTAGTTTCCCAAATAAATCTGCTCCTTTCGAAACCGCTTAAAGCGACTTTCCTCGACGTATGATTGGGTAATATTCAAGAGAACAGTTACTATTCTACATTTGAGATTCAAATTCCAGTTTGTTCAGTAAAGGTATTGATCTTAGTTTTTACTTTTTTGCTGCTGGTGCTGACCGTAGTTTCTCTGGCAGGAGACTGTTGATGTCTTCTCCCTTCATGAGAGCCTTTTCAAGGTTGACGAGGAGCTTGACACCGTCTACGAGTTGTTGGACAAGATGGACTTCGGAGAAACCGATGCGATCCGAGTTGGAGATATCAAAGGTGCCGTCAGTAGAGGCTGTGTCTACACCTCCTGTTCCTCGCTTTTGCAGACGCATGTGATCAAGGATAGTGTCGAAGATTTTCTGTTGACTTAGCAAAGGAACCTTGACATGGACGCCTGCACGCAGTCCCGTACCTAGATTGGATGGACATGTCAGTACATAACCAAGATGCTCATTCCACATGAACTGGTAACCCTTGGACTTGATGGAATCTTCGACCTTTTTGAGACCGTCGCAGAACCTCTCAAACACTCGCTTCATGTTTCCGCCCTTCTCCATGGAGATGACTCGAGTGTGATCTTCCTCGTTGACCCAGACAAGGAAATTCTTCTCATCGTTATGCCAGATACCACGACCCTGTGGCCAGTCACGTGCCATATTGGCACAAAGCAAAAGCGGGGATACAGGCTTGTCAAAGAGGAAGTGGTCTTCGATGAGCTTCTCTTGCTCTTCGTCTGTCATACCGGTTAGTGGGTAGTACTTTCCTTTCAATGGCCCATCTAAGGTAGCCAATGCATCTACTGTAATTTTCTCAACTGCAGCACGCTCTGCTCTGGTGCAACATGGGGGAAGAGCTAAGCCGCGGATGCAACGACCAGTGCGGACACGACTGGACAGAACGAAGTCGGGGTCCAAATCATCTCCGCCTTTGAGTTCTGCTGCATTGAGGTTGGTAGGGTGTTTGGCATCAATAGCGTATCCACCGTGTCGTTTACTTATCACCGGGTCGAAGAGAGGGGCAAAGACCTTATAGCACTCTTCATCTCCAGCTACCAAACCAACAGTCATGATGTAGGGATGTCCAGGATTGTCAACGCCGGTTTGAATGCAGTCATTCAGGGTGACTCCACCTTTTGTCTTCAAGTTGCAAATCTTGTTGTAGATTTCTTCGGTCATGCACTTGGCCATCCAGTTGTTGTGCAGAGAGAAATCGGGGTAGTCAGAACTGAAAGGCTTTATTGGTGGTTTAGGACGGCATTGCTGCGGTAGCAGATCAGAGATGTCCTCTCCCTTCTCGAGTTTCTTCTCCATTTTGATGAGAAGCTCTACGCCGTCAATCACGGTCTGAACCTGTTGTACTTCAGAAGTACCAAGACGATCTAGGTTAGAGATGTCGAAGGTTCCATCAGTTGAGGCAGTATCTACTCCACCTGTACCTCTCTTCTGAAGTCGGAGGGCTCTCAGGACCTGATCGAATCTCGGATACTTGCTCAGCAGAGGCAGTTTCACATGGACGCCACCGCGTAGACCGGTTCCCAAGTTGGATGGGCAGGTAAGTACGTATCCCAGATGTTTGTTCCACATAATGTCCTTACCATCCTTCTTGACTGTCTGCTCGAACTTCTGCAAACCTTCACAGAAACGCTTGAAGACCCCTCGCATGTTCCCACCCTTCTCCATAGAGATGACACGGATATGATCTTCTTCATTGACCCACACCAAGAAGTTCTTGTTGTCGTTATGCCAAATTCCTCTTCCCTGTGGCCAATCGCGGTGCATTTTTGCAGCTGTGAGAAGCGGAGATACAGGCTTATCAAAGAGGAAATGGTCATCTATCAGCTTTGTTTGCATTTCTTCTGACATCCCTTCCAGTGGGTAGTATTTTCCCTTCAACTCTCCATCAAATTTGGCAAGTGCTCCGATCGTGATTTTCTCTACGGCAGCTCTCTCTTCCACAGTGCAGTGCGGGGGGAGACCATATCCGCGGATGCTGCGTCCTGTGCGAACACGAGAAGACAATACGTACTTGGGATCCAAGTTATCTCCTCCTTTGAGATCTGCAAACTTCAAGTTGGTGACATGAACTGCATCTTTGGCGTAACCTCCGTGTCGTGCATCAATGACTGGGTCAAAGATATCAGCGAAGACGTCATAGGATTCTTCATCTCCGGCTACCATTCCGACGGTCATGATGTGAGGATGACCAGGGTTCATGACTCCTGTTCCGATGCAGCCATCCAGAGTATAGCCACTGGGCGTCTTCTTGTCCTTGAGATTTTTCCAAATGTCGTATGTCAGACAGTTGGCCATATGGTTGTTGTGCTTGGAAAAGTCTGGATATCCTTCTTTCGTACGTTCTGCTTGAACCACCGCTGGGTCTCGTGGTATCAATAGGCTGACACTCTCAAGGACCTTTTCCAACTCCACAAGCTTCTTGACACCGTCAACCACGGTCTGAACCTGTTGTACTTCAGAAGTGCCAAGACGATCTACGTTTGAGATGTCGAATGTGCCGTCAGTGGATGCTGTGTCCACGCCTCCTGTGCCGCGCTTCTGGAGTCGATAATGAGTCAGAACGGCTTGGAAATCCGGATGCCTGCTGAAATGGGGAATCTTGACGTGGACTCCTGCACGCACGCCTGTACCAAGATTGGATGGACAAGTGAGCACATACCCAAGATGCTCATTCCACATGAATTCATACCCTTTCGATTTGAGAGCATTCTCGACTTTGTTGAGACCATTACAGAATCGGGTAAAGACATTCTTCATGTTGCCACCTGTTTCCATGGAAATAACCCGAGTATGATCTTCCTCGTTAACCCAAACCAGGAAGTTCTTATCGGCATTGTGCCAGATCCCACGTGCATCAGGCCAATCACGGGCCATGCGAGCTGACATAAGCAAAGGAGAAACAGGCTTATCGAATAGGAAATGATCTGCAATTAGTTTGTCCTGCTGTTCAGTTGTCATGCCCTTCAGTGGGAAGTATGTGCCTTTGAGTGGCCCATCTAGAGTTGCCAGTGCGTCTATGCAAATTTTCTCTACGTCTCGTCGTTCAGCCCTCGAGCAGTATGGAGGGAGGGCGTATCCTCTGATGCTGCGACCTGTACGAACCCGAGATGACAGGACATACTTTGGATCCAAGTCGTCGCCCCCGACAAGATGGTCTGGGTTGATATCGGTAACGTGCTTGGCGTTGGTGGGATAGCCGTTGTGCCTCTTACTAATAACCGGATCGAAAAGGTCACGGAAGAGATCGAAAGACTCTTCATCCCCAGCCACCAATCCGACAGTCTTGATGAAAGGATGTCCTGGATTGTCCACGCCAGTTTGCATGCATTCATCCACGGAGTAACCAGAAAGTGTGTGAAGATCAGCAAGCTTCTTGTAGATGGCAGGCGTCATACCCTCAGCCAAATAATTATTATGCTTGCTAAGGTCAGGATAATTGGGATGGTTCCTGTTAAAGAAGAGAAGAAAGACAACACCAAGTGTGAGCTGCTTTCATTACAAATACAAAAAAAAAATACTGTGAAATACGATATGATATTGTCAATCATTTTGACATGACTAAAATTTCGAGCAAGCCGTGAATGAATGCTTCAACACCACAAACATGGGAAGGAAGCATCCATGCATTTGAAACATTTGGTTGATAAACGACTTCGCATAGTATGTCATGCTACCAAGGAAATGACGATGCCCATGTCTTGCTGAGAAACTGGACTTTGTTCTTGCTTTATACCTTTCTCATACACTTGGCGGGAAATCTTGTAGATTGATGGGCAATAATGCAATAAATCTCTCGGTTCTAGGAAACCTATACCCTGGACATCCACCCCCTGAGAACCACCCCAGTAAACTACCCCCTAGGACAACTATCCCCTAGGACAACTACCCCCTAGGGCAACCAGCATCTAGGACGACTATCCCCAGGACAAAACCCCCCAGACAACTACCCCCTAGGATAGTTTGTCCGGGGGTAGTTGTCCTAGGGGGTAGTTGTCCGGGGGTAGTTGCCCTATGGGGGTAGTTTTCCTAGGGGGTAGGTGACTAGGGATGGTTATCCAGGGGTGGATGTATAGGGGTAGGTGTCCGGATACGTATCCAACTAAAGATATTTCTTGGGGTTAGGTTTCCTTTAAAGAGTTACGACATGGACGTACAGTAATTTAACAACTAGATTATTTATATACCCCTTGTAAATTTGATGCTTTTTGTGTTATTCGTAACTCAAGAATGAAAGGTGGACTAACTTAATTAGGGCCTTTGTTAAAACTTTGAAATGTAAGCTTTGATATGTCATATTCCCAAGAAACATAGATTTGGAGAAGAAAAAAAAAAAAAAAAAAGAAAGAAAAAAAAAGAATTTTTTTTTTTTTCAATTTTCATATACTTATAAATTTGCAAAACTTGGTAAGGGTATGAATAATACAATTGTTAACTGTATATATTGTTGGGGGTAGGGGGGGGGGGGTAGGGAACAAATGACGTTTCGAATTCTTCCTTGTTAGATTTTGCAGGTGCTGATCGCTCTTGAATAGAAATGCCTCGTAATTAGTGGAAACAGAATGACTCTAATCGAGGGTTACTGTTTTTTCCAAAGGTTCATAAATCCGAACTGTGAATTTGTTATATTCCGACAATGAATTAGGGTTCAGAATTTTTAATGTTATATACTCCGAAAGTTCGTAATTACGGAAATGGAACATGGTTCAAAATTCCAAATGTGAAATATGCTTCATAATTCCGAAAAAGAAACAGATTTCGTAATTCTGAACATGAAATAAGGCTCATTATTCCAAAGGTTCATAATCTATTTCATTTTCGGAATCAAGAATATTGGGAAAGACGAACCTTCAGATTTGTATGAACCTTTGGAAAAACGACATGTAACCCTCAAATCATAGGATGTCGTAACTCTAAGGAGTATAGGCCTAACAACCCACACTCCCTCCATATACACCCCCTGCTCTGCTTTGGGGCACATTGAAAAATGTTAAAGGTATTACAAAGTTTTGGTATGGGGTCGTGAATTTGTTTCAAATGAACATATTGGAAGCTTATGCGATCCTACAATATTCACTGATCGTTGTCGCGGTCGAAATCGACTCTAAAGTTATGAAATTGTAAATAATAAACACTTTATGTTGTATAGCTCCCTCTCAAGGTCAAGATATCAATTAAGCTATAAAACAATGTTTCTTGACTAAAATCGACCGATTAGCTATTCCCGTTCGGAAATTATATACCACAACTACATATTCTGAGATTTTCATGGTCGCAGCTACCATTGTACTGTCGTAGGAGCTATTAGAAATTTATCAAAATTTACCGGGAGCACCGGTAAATCTTTATATTCAAGTTTTCTCGAAAGCAGAAATGTTTTAGGGGCTAAAGATTCTAGTGTTTTTAATACATCCACAGGGGCATCAAAATATATCAAAATTGTAAAGAATCACTATCCACCCCTTTTTCAAAATTTCCCAAAACTTTGTAATACCTTTAAGGGATTTTAATAGGGGTAAATAAAACCAGAGGATGGGAGTAAGAGAAAGAGAGGATGTGTGAATATTAGGTGTTAACAAACAAAAAATTGTATTGCCTTTTGCGAACGACTCCTTAAATCTTAAAATCTACGGTCGGCTTTAAAAAAAAAGGTTTAATTAATTAAAAAATACGTTAAAAAACTGAGAAATATCAGCCAAAAGAGGGAGAGAATTAAAAAAAAAAATTACGACCGACCGACCTATGTTTTGGCACCTAAAGGGCAATACAACATCTTTTTTTTAGGCCTTATGTATGAGCGAGCCTCGGAGAGAGAGAGAGGGGGGGGGGGGGTCGTCGGAGAGGGGGACCGGAAGAGAGAGAGAGGGAGAGAAACAAATAGAAACTGCCCTGACTCACCCGCCACTGCCAGCAGCTTGACCACCTAGATGTAAAAGGATAAATAAATAAACGAAAATTTATTACTAAAATGTATCAAATAATATAGAGGCCAATTAGTGAATGAGTGAATAAGATATACATACAAGACGTAATATACCGATTTATGGAAAATAAATCTGACGATGAAACACAAAAACGATTATAATTACAAAAGAAAACGCATGCACCTGAATTCAAACTCTAAGATTATTACTCTATATGCCCTTTAAAGACATAACAATCTACCGACATGGTTTACTTTTTTTCATTGATTCATTTATTTGAAAGCAACAACAACATAAGATTCGGGGCTGGTTTGCGTTAGGAGTTTAGGTTACATTTAGGGTTGGGATTAGGGTTATATAGCGTTGGGTTCGTGTAGGAATTTGACCTCAGGGCAACCGGGGCATTTGTGGTACAATTATTCCTGTACTTCTCCCTGGTCTACTTCTGTCTCATCGAGTAGTCGGATAATTCATATCGAGCTCAGTAATTCGTATCGCAGAAAATTCCAACCCGAGGACGCAGACGGTATGGAATTCTCATTTTCTCTAATGATACTGCATGTAGATGTACGCCATTTTGTTATACCGGTCCAAATCTTACGTACAGCAATATGAAATATAGACCTATAATCATACAGAGCTAGGTACTCTAAGTACTACAGTGTGTATTATAATATTTCCCACCCCACCCAACAAAAAAATCCCTTTGTGTCTTATGCGGTCTATGGTTCCGATCGACCCCGCCCCTTTCCCTTCCTCAAAATGGCCCCTAGCTGTCAATATCTCTTCACAAGGGTTCTGTCATAAGAGATTATGAGCTCATAGAAAATAGAAATGTAACCAAGTGGTATGTGGGCCTCAATTTTTGTCATGCATCGAGTAGGCCCACTGATTTCATAACCTTTGGAGTTTGGTACTTGAATAAGCTTTACGTCATGAAAGTGCATGGTAATATTTCTGGCATTATGATAGCTTAATATTGATAGGGCGCTAGCTGCCTTGCAGAATGCCTGCTTTAGAACGACGTTCATACTTTAAACAATCTGAATCCCACCAGAGAGTTTTCTGTCTACAGCGCTCTAACCCCCCCCCCCCCCCATAAAGAGGCAAATTTCTTTATGTAACCAAATTATAAAAAAATATTTATGTAACAAAACAAATCTGTTTAAGTGCCTTGATATGATTTAACTCACCAATCACAAATAATTGCATCGCAGTCAGAATATAAATTGCATTATGATTTATGATTATACTACGTGTTGTTAGGTTGGGCAAGCCATTTTATTCGTTCTGTCTGGCAACAGCTAAATGTACATGGCGTACTATAGGGTCTATGCAATTCGTATTCTGACTACTGAGGTATACATGCAACATTTTGTTACTGATAATCTCCTCATTTAGAATCAGACCAAGAATAATCTAGGCTCGATCAGACGTAACCTTTAAAAAACGGAATACAGAAACCAATAAAAAGATGTAATTATATAGACATTAATCTCTAGCAATGTTTGGTTGGTTTTGTGGTGCATGCAGAGTCGTAACATTTTCTGTGGAATATCCGGCTTGGTGACCTCATTTTTTTATAATTGAAATTCAGTTCAGGACTGGTGTGGTGTGATTTTGGAGCTGAATTTAGATCCGACGTCGGTTGAGCTTCGTTACTCGGTGTCGTGTCGAGAAATGGATTGACAGGGAAGCGAGAAATTCTCCAGAATCCTAGAAGTGGAGGCGTATTGCTCATAAACACCACGTAGGCTATGTACAGGGTGTCCCTAAAAAGGACAACCCAAGTTTACAGATGAATAACTCGATGATTTAATTCAAATTTCCTCGGTTAATGCATGTATAAATGATTGGAAGTCTAAATTTATCTTATTTCACATGACACCAAAATCATAATCGAGACGTCACGCATGAATAATTTTAGACAGCCCACAGTGGCCCGTGTCAGAAACTGCCCAAAACCGGTGGATGGCTCTTACGTTTGCGTCATTATGGTTTCGAAAAGATAGTAAATGATGTGGATATCATTTAAAAGCTCATATTCTCTTCTTTCATATGAGACTATAATCATAATGAAAAGATCACACACGAGTGAGCAGGTAGCACGTGCTTTTTTGTTTTAGGAAATTAAATGAGGGAGTTGAACAAAAATGCCATTAGGCAGACGGTTGTGGCGTATGGTTGTGGCGTATGCCTGCTAACGGTTGTGCTGATCCTGCTGGGTACGCCACTGTATAATTAGTATCCAGCCAATCCAGGGGCCTCGATCTATTTCCAGACTTAACTGGTGATGGGGGGGGGGGGGGGGGAGCAGGGGAGCAATACTATGACCGGATGCATGGAAGGGTGATTATATTAAGTACTATAAGGGGAGCAAGTTCTATACCTCTGTATTTTCAGACGGGGGAAGACAGGGGGAGACAGGGGATCGACCCCCCCCCCCTCCGGGGTCGAAATGACCGCATGCGCGTTACCAAAATGTCCGGTAAAGGGGTACTTTTCGTGCGATAAAGTCCGGCCCGAGAATTGTAGAAAAAGGGGTGTATTTGACTTTTCACCCGGAGATTTCTTTAAAAAGGGGGTGTTTTTCTTTTTTTCTCTCATCTCTTTGGACTCCTGAGAAATTATTCCGAATTTAGGGGGGTACATTGAGCATTTTTCCGTATTTAGGGGGGTCTCTAAGGCATGAAAAGCCCGCGAAAAGCCCGCGATAGGGGGGTTCGGAAATGTTGGCAGTCCTCAGATAGGGGGTGATTTCAAAAAGAGGGAACGAGCATAATTATGCGTACCCTAAATAACACTGAGTGGAGGGGGGGGGGGGGGGCGGGGGATCGACACTTCTGCTGGATATATCTTCTTATAGATCATTATTAATGATGTATAAGAGATGTCCACCCTGACCTGACCTGCAGCCCCCATGTGGTATTTCAGTCTGTAGACGGGGTCAGATCTGCTCCCACAATGCAACAGTGATGATATTACCCCCATATAGCTATACATCTTTTCTATTGATTTCTGTTGTTGTTCGTTTTTTAAAAATAAATTATCATAACAAGTTCATCAACAGCCGTATGACTTTGATTGTATTTCAGCACAGCATGGTGTCGCTTTAATAGAAGTATGATAGATTGGAGTTGGTTAGGTTCGGTATGTACGATATGTCACAGAGCGGTAGGAGACACATGGAGCTGAAAAGGTCATTACCATGTCCAGGGTGAATACCTCGCATGCCACAAGGCCATATAAGGATCGTGTCTCTCTGTACATACAAACTTTTATTTTTGTGTGTGTGTTTCTAGTTTTCCGAACGTTATGAAATTACACAAAAATGATAAAAAGAACTTTAAGAATTTAAAATAGGTTCCTAGACAAAGTTATGACTTTTCAAACTACAACAAACGAAAAGACTATATTGTATAATAAAAACAAAAATAGTAAAGATTGTATATGTCTCTGCCATAATACGGTGAGCTAATGCAGTTTTCACTGTGAGGTATGCGTATGCCAGACGTACGACTCAATTGAAGGGCTAAAGCTTTGTAAATTACTTACATCATAACATTTAGGAATTTTATTTGTCATATTATATTATATATTATATATTTGAAAGGTGCTGTAACGATTCAAACTCTATGCTTATGTTTCATCACCTTTGTGTGTTCATTCTTTAAACTGTATAAAAGTTGCAATTTGTATATTCTTTTGCATGGGAAGTCAATTCAAATCGATTGTAAAAGTGAAAATGATCTGTTATATTATATTCTTTTCATGTGATGTTAACTCCAATGAATTGTGAGATTGTGAACATGCACAAATAAAGAAATGAATAACATTACTATAATTATCATCTCGGTTGACAACAAAAAGGTTATCATGAAGGTCCACCTAAAATGCAATAAAGTTCTCTGATTTATTTTTTTTAAATGCGAGAGGGTCTCCATTTTCACCAGGGTACGCAGAGAATAATGTCATTTCTTGCTCACATACCTACTTTTCTGTTTCTAAAAGTATCCACAATGGAGACTTGGCAGGGGCGAGTAAATCAAGTATGAGCCCCCCCCCCCCTCCCCCTTCCCCTCCCCCATCTCACCCGATGTTAAGGTTCATCAAAAACATATCAACAATTGATCTATTCTAGAACATACAAGGCTGCCAAGATCCATAACGCCACCCCTCCCCGTGTGCGGATATGCGGAATATCCCCCACCCCCATTTCCCCTTTCTGTGTGTAATAACAGCAATTTGTGCATAATTATATTCATATATTTAATTCGAATTTGAATATACATTTTATGGGAGATGGGGGTTCCTAAACGCGATAATTACAATTATCATTGTTATTTTAGTATTCATGAAATTATCAAAATGCCAGTTATTATCATATTGTTTTTTTTTTCTTGCTGAATTTGAGGTTTTAAAACGTATTACCAAAAAGTAATAATTATTATTATCTCTATCATATTCACAAAAAGGAACGTGGTAGTACGTGGATTTTTGCTATTTCTGTTAATTACAATATGACATTTGCAGTCAATTATATTTGTGAACTGTATTTTTAACTGTGTCAGACATATTTACATCAGCATATCTTCATTTTCATTTTCACCATCATTCATTATCATCACCACCACCAGTTTTTGTTTGTTTCTTTTTTTTCATCACCCCTCTCCCCCCCCCCCCTCCCTTTCCCCCGGCCTTTCACGCTATCACGCTATCAAGCAATCGCTTACTGTAATAGCCCTTCTTCTTCTGCAACTTTCTTAATGAATATTTATTGGTATTGTGTTATCAGTTAAAATTTGCTTTAATGTCATCATTTATTATAGGATATTGCATACACGTTCAAAGAACTTGTTATATGTTATATATGTAATATTGCTGAAATGTAATTTGATTTGTATGTTGCAGAAGAAAATAAATTCAATTTTAAAAAACACAATTCTGATTGCACTTATCTTTTGCTAAAAATAAATTGAGAATGATCCTACATATTTGGATTCTAATCAATAAATTTAAATTTGAATCTATATATAATCAATAACAGCGTTTTGAAATAATTTTGTCCTTGATTTGTATACAAAAAAGTGTATAAAGTGTATATCAAAATACAAGAGTGGTCATGGCATTGGCTTGGTTGTATATAAACATATTTTATATTGAATAAATAATATTAGCCCCCCCCCCCCATCCGACACAAGCACACACACTCGTACGCCTACACATATTTCTGAAAGTAAACTTGGTTTCATTACTCCTAAAATAGAGCTTTAAACACTTAATTTGAACTCTTTCGTGTATTCAGAATTACGAGATTTCGAATATGCTCTGAATTTGAGATCATTAAACCAACAGATAAAGACCCTAGTTTCTTCAAGAAGAATATTTGGTTGGGGATAATTAAAGATGTGTCTTTCAATGTAGACAGAAAACCCCATGCAGTAAAACAGCATGGGCATAGAGAGAAAGAGATAAGGGGAGAGAGCGAGAGAGAGAGAGAGAGAGAGAGAGAGAGGGCGAAAAAGAAAGAGAGGCAGAGGGAGAAAGAGGAAGAGAAATAGAGATTTTAAAAAGAAAAAAATAAGCTACTTTTGACCTACAACTTATTTGATATTGTGTAATAATTTGATTGTAGCAATCACATAGTTCTTCATTTATTTATGTACCATTCACTTCTTTTACTCTATATAAGTTCATATTGTGAATTATTTCTACTATTGTCTAATTTTTATGTATCGCTTATTGTTTTTAATTAGTATTTGAAATCCAACCTTTTGGTTGTAATAAATAAATAAAATGTTGTTTAAAAGAGAAAGATAGGGGGTCAGTACTTATGTAACAGCCTTTTATTCAACCAAATCTTTGCTTATTCGATAACAAATTTCAAAATTCAAATCAGTAGATAAAAGCCGAATATCCTCATCACAAAAAAAGAAGGGTCCTAAGGATACTCCCTTTTGGAATTCCATATTGTAATGCATTTTTGGATTAAATATCAATGAAGATTTAATGGTTTTTGTGAGCTCTTTCTTTCCTTGCAGTTTTACCTCAATAATAATTGTACCCTTTCCGTGCGTTAAAAGTGCCATTCTTTAGCTTACGTGTTCGTGTCCGTATATAGTTCCAACTTTCCATGCTAAAAACAGATCTCCTTTCTTTTTTGTTTGAACAGTTTTCCCCTATAGTATAACCAAATACAAGTCATGTATACATTTTCTAGACCATTTTAAATTTTTTGAAAAATGATTTTTCGGTTTGGTTTGGTTTTGGTAATTTATTTGTTTTTGCCCCTTAGTTCTCTTCGTTTTCGACAAAATAATAACAATGTATTAATTACATTCATGTAATAATACACAATTTAACACAACCCCTGTGTAAGGAGTAAACCACCCAATGTCAGTGAGGCAATGTCAATACCCTATACTGTGAATCCCATAGAAATCTAGCGTATTTTGATGACGAAACATGTTTACCACACCGAAGCGTCTTTTTTTCGTTCGCTCGGGAGATCTCGAAGCTATAGAAAATTACTTTTGGGCAGGAGGCGCCAACCCCATGATGAAAATGTATCCGTATTTCGATTCCAAAAACTATCGGATATTGTACCTTACAAAAAAAAATTATCCACAAAGTTCCTGAAAATGTGCTTAATTCGGCTGCTCCGCTAACATTCTTTGAATAATATTTTACAAGTAATCTTGTTAACGCAAGAAGATAAATTTACTTATTTTGATTAAAGGACATTCGCAATGCTGCAAATTAAGACCAAAAGATAGTTCTATTACTGTTCTGTTTGATACCGATGAGTGATCAGGATTCTTTGAGGTAGACATTAAATAGTTTTCTGGACCCCGCTAGCTGGATTCCGTCAGCAGATCGCTGGTCAGATCAGGGTTTGGAGAAGAAGAAAAAAAATCGGCTACTTTTGCCGAATTGTTTTCACCACATTTTGTATTTCCATCGTCTCCAATTTGTTTAATTATGTCCACAGGATTACCAAAAAATGGCATTATCCTCAAATAAAGAGACAAAATTAGCTGATGAAATGCACAAAGATAAATACATTTGGAGGGAATATCCCGGGGAATATAAGGCCTTTTGACATTTAAAAAAGATAAAAACAGATGATTTAAGAATAGAAATAATAATTAAACAAGTTGGGATTGTTCTTACCTGTTGGTTGCGCCATTTTGATATGTCCAACTGAATCGCAGATCCTAGGGATATATCTGGGAAGACTGCCTCCTTTTTTCTTGGGCCTGAAAGAAAATGGGCTAAAACTCCGTGCTTTGGTCGATAAGCAGGTGGGCAGTGAGAACGGTGGTGAGCGGCGAGGGGCGCTGGCTGCCTTCAAAAGAAGAGAGTGTGCGGTTACAATTCTCATGGACAAATTTGGCTATGAGAGGATCGCGCGTTCGGGGTTTGTGGGCGGGTCCGCACCAAGTGAGACCAATGGCAAGTCGTGAGGGTAAACGGTTGCGATGTCGGAACAGCCATTGGGAGTTATACCAGCAACGTACATGAAGACCTTTACAGACCCCAGAATTGAACTTGGTGACTATTTTGCTTGTCACGGCCGAGACGGACGACATGTGACAGAGCATGGCGACCGAGCGGGGAAGGTCTCTAAGAAGGGGCGTCCCCTTTCCGGATTTCACTTTATTGCTGTTCGTATTCCCAGCAGATAAATTTTAAATGAAGTCAATGTTCAATCAAAATAATTTATCATACTGGATTGAAATACTTTCTCAGATTTGTTTAACCTGATGAAAAAGACCTTTTTCACCGTGAACAAATATATATAATTTTGACGATAAAGACTTACAAATTGCATTTTATTTTAATTTCTTATTCTATTACCGGGGCGATTGCTAGCTCCTTTTACAAAATTAAACATTTTGCAATCCATTTCCTGGCTATCTACATCATGACTGTATAGACCTAGCCTGTCTACACTTGGCCATATTTACGAATGACAATCTGTATTTTTTTTTTTTTTTTTTTAATTTAATACTTTCTACGGGTCTCCTTTTGTTCTTTGTGTCTTTTCATTTACTGTCAATACGTTGAAATACGTTGTAATTTTTTTCCTTCTTGATTTAGGGATGAGGGGGTGGGATGTTCGCCGGCTCTGTTTGATTCTGGATTCGGACTGGATACGCCTCTAGGAATTACGAGTAGCATTCAGGGGGCAGTGATATATATCCCGTAATGAAAGGAGCGATGACGTGTGTGAAGCGGAAAAAGCATTGTGACGTACGTGTGTATGAGAGAGTGTAGCCACAAATCGGTTATGGGAGCGATCTGGGAGCGGGGCAGTGGCGTAGCTACATGGAAGAACGTGCCCCCCCCCCCAATCGAATGCTCCACCCACCCCCCCCCCCCAAAAAAAAGAGAGAGAGAGAGAGCAAGGGAGAGATGAAGGAAAAGGGAGAAGAACGTGAGGTAACATAATGAGATAGATTGCTCGAAAACGCTCTTCAAAGATTATCATATAATTAAAAGTGAAAGTGGTGACAACATGATAAGTCTTCAATTAAATATGTTGTTATAAAAAAGGTGTACTAAACGATCATTGACAATTTTGGCTTTGGGGTGATCCGATCTGCGTCCTTCGTGTAGCGTACACCAGATAAGAAAAAGAAATGGAAATGGAGTGAAAGATAGAAGTATGTATGTGTATTCGTTTCACTTTCAAATGCAAAATGTTCTCACTTTATGGGGCAAGGCGTATATCCCTTCCCGGACTAGTCAATCACCCCTCCCCCCTCAAATTGTTTTTCAGCTGGGTGCCACGTTGGAGTATTTGTTATACAATATATATTCGTATATTTTGGAATAACGTCAACTTAATATACACGAAGAATCAGAAACCGCAATATGCTCAAATTTAATATCATTTGGGATATCTTGATGAGGAAATAACATTTCATAAATAGCCGAGTGTATTTTTTATAGCTCGCTTCACCCGCTCGCAAACTTTGAAATAGGAAAGTTTCAGGCAGCGAGGTCCCCAATGATGATATGACGCTTTTCGGTCACCTCGCTGCACAAATATCGTCAAAATTCGGCAGCATGGCTCCCGAATTTTACCTTATTTATTGTATTTTTATATCTAAATTAAATTTATTCTACAACAAAGGGTCTTTCTCGTTCTCTTAATTTCTCGCAAAATTGATACATCGGGATGAAACCAGTACCTAGCATCAAGAGGACCCAATATACAAATTTTCATTTTACCTAGTGTATATTGATGACTAAATAACATGTTTGCCTTAATAAAAGTGCAACGAAATCTGGCTCACAATATTTCAGATCAGGATCAAACAATTTAGGGTTAGATCGAGGTCCATACGTCTATGAAAACAATGGATGGAAAACGAATCCTCTTTATAATATTTTGATTGGGGCGACCCAAAACAAATTTAACTCTTAAAATGGTTCCGTGACTAAAATTCTAAAAAAAAGTAGAAAAACGCTGATCAAGTAGAATAAAGTGCGCCCCCCCCCCTCATGACAGAGCCCACGTTACGCCACTGCATAGGGCTGCTTATAGGATGGCAAGTGAAGGTTGACGGTTTAGGCCTTTTTAACGAATGAACGACCATTTACTAATTAGTCATGCTCTTAATAATGAATCAAATGTTAATCAGTAACCGAATAGTGGTAGTACAAATTGTAATTTAGGAATTGGATTAGGGTTTGGGTTACATCGAGGGTTTGGGTGACAATTTCGCTCTTTTTCACTTTCTTCCCCTCTTTCCTCCTCACACCCGATTCCTTTCCCATTCTTCGGATATATACGATTCCTTTTTAAATGTTTAACACAAATTCTTCAAAATATTTAATGAAGTCTCAATTCGATTCGCTGCGTTCTCGCGATTCTCTTATCATTCCCCTCTCCTGTTCGTCAATAATCTCTTCTCTCTTCCCGTTTCCGTGGTGTTTTCCAATTCCACTAACATCTTCCCATGTCACTTTCTCAGCTTCTCATATTGTCACTTTCACTTATTTCTTGCAATAAAGACTTTTCACAACTTTCTCCTTCCAGTAACACCCCCCCCCCCCTCTCGTAATAAGGATGTCGATAATAATAAAAGCCATGACTAGAGAATCATGTCAAATAGAAGTGGATATACTGAGGTCTCTGTTAGAGTATATGTATCTTCATTTCTCTCTCTCCTCGATTCATTATTCGTTTTTCCATCCTCGAACTTTTTCCCTCTTTTAGTTTCGTAATTTCTTAATTTGGCTTTAGGACACTAAAAAAACTTCAGAGATAATACATTTTAATGAAAGGTAGTTTGAATTGTATTTCAGTTCGTTTCCTTGTTTTTACATAATTAAAAGTTTCCATACATATTAATAAGAGAAATTAATATAATTAGTGTACTTCATCAGAAAGAAAAACGGCCAGGAAATTTGATATCTTCCCAATTTACAGAGTTTTCTAACATTACTTTTTCATTTACAAGTTCAGCATGAAGTTATTTTGATTCAAAATCATGGGCAAATCTTTATGGTATATTCAAATCGTCCTTATAGATTTCAATTCTAATTGTATTTTTTTTTTAATGTGTAGGCTACATCTTCTAAAGGTGGCATTTGTAACACTTGCGCGACAACGGCCACTATTCGGCAAGCTGTGGATCCTGGCTTTATGAGGAATCTTCCCTTAGCTTCTCTGGCAGGAGACTGTTGATGTCTTCTCCCTTCATGAGAGCCTTTTCGAGGTTGACGAGGAGCTTGACACCGTCTACGAGTTGTTGGACAAGATGGACTTCGGAGAAACCGATGCGATCCGAGTTGGAGATATCAAAGGTGCCGTCAGTAGAGGCTGTGTCTACACCTCCTGTTCCTCGCTTTTGCAGACGCATGTGATCAAGGATAGAGTCAAAGATTTTCTGTTGACTTAACAAAGGAACCTTGACATGAACGCCTGCACGCAGTCCCGTCCCGAGGTTGGATGGACATGTCAGTACATAACCAAGATGCTCATTCCACATGAACTGGTAACCCTTGGACTTGATGGAGTCTTCGACCTTTTTGAGACCGTCGCAGAACCTCTCAAACACTCGCTTCATGTTCCCGCTCTTCTCCATGGAGATGACTCGAGTGTGATCTTCCTCGTTGACCCAGACAAGGAAATTCTTCTCATCATTGTGCCATATGCCACGACCCTGGGGCCAGTCACGTGCCATATTGGCACAAAGCAACAGCGGGGATACGGGCTTGTCAAAGAGGAAGTGGTCTTCGATGAGCTTCTCTTGCTCTTCGTCTGTCATACCGGTTAGTGGGTAGTACTTTCCCTTCAGAGGTCCACTTAGGGTAGATAATGCTTCCGTTGTAATCTTCTCTACTTCCGCACGTTCTGCTCTGGTGCAACATGGCGGGAGAGCCAAGCCGCGGATGCAACGACCAGTACGCACACGACAAGATAGGACGAACTCAGGGTCCAAATCATCTCCGCCTTTGAGTTCTGCTGCATTGAGGTTGGTAGGGTGTTTGGCATCAAGAGCGTAGCCGCCGTGCCTGGCACTTATCACCGGGTCGAAGAGAGGAGCAAAAACCTCGTAGCACTCTTCATCTCCAGCTACCAAACCAACAGTCATGATGTATGGATGTCCAGGATTGTCAATGCCAGTTTGAATGCAGTCGTTCAGGGTGACTCCACCTTTTGTCTTCACGTTGCAAAGTTTGTTGTAGATTTCTTCTGTCATACATTTAGACATCCAGTTGTTGTGCAGAGAGAAATCGGGGTAGTCAGAACTGAAAGGCTTTATTGGTGGTTTGGGACGGCATTGCTGTGGTAGAATATCAAAAATGTCCTCGCCCTTTTCAAGTTTCTTCTCCATCTGGACGAGAAGTTCAACGCCGTCGACAACAAACTGAACTTGCTGTACTTCTGATGATCCAAGCCTGTCGAGGTTCGAGATGTCGAAGGTTCCATCAGTTGAGGCAGTATCTACTCCACCTGTACCTCTCTTCTGAAGTCGGAGGGCTCTTAGAATCTGGTCGAATCTCGGATACTTGCTCAGCAGAGGCAGTTTCACATGTACGCCAGCGCGTAGGCCGGTTCCCAGGTTAGACGGACAAGTAAGTACGTAACCCAGATGTTTGTTCCACATGAACTCCTTGCCATCCTTTTTGATCATCTGCTCGAACTTTTGCAAACCTTCACAGAATCGCTTGAAGACCGCTCGCATATTCCCATCCTTCTCCATAGAGATGACACGGATATGATCTTCTTCATTGACCCACACCAAGAAGTTCTTGTTCTCGTTATGCCAAATTCCTCTTCCCTGTGGCCAATCACGATGCATTCTTGCGGCGGTAAGAAGAGGAGAAACAGGTTTGTCAAAGAGAAAATGGTCATCTATCAGCTGTGTTTGTGTTTCATCAGACATTCCTTCCAGTGGGTAGTATTTTCCTTGCAAGTCTCCATCGAATTTATCAAGAGCTCCGATCGTGATCGTCTCTACGGCAGCTCTCTCTTCCACGGTGCAATGCGGGGGCAGAGAATACCCGATGATGCTGCGTCCTGTGCGAACACGGCAAGACAAAACATATTTGGGATCCAGGTTATCTCCTCCTTTAAGATCTGCATGGTTTATGTTGGTGACATGGACGGCATCTTTGGGATAACCTCCGTGTCGTGCATCAATGACCGGGTCAAAGATATCAGCGAAGACGTCATATGATTCCTCATCTCCTGCAACCATTCCAACGGTCATGATGTGAGGATGACCAGGGTTCATGACTCCCGTTTGGATGCAGCCATCCAGAGTAAAGCCACTTGGCGTCTTTTTGTCCTTGAGACTTTTCCAAATGTCGTATGTCAGACAGTGGGCCAGATGATTGTTGTGTTTGGATAGGTCTGGATATCCTTCTTTCACTTGTTCTGCACGAACTATTGCAGGGTCCCGGGGAATCTGGCCGCTGATATCTGATCCCTTTTCTAACGCTTTTTCCAACTCAATCAGCTTCTTGACACCATCAACAACGGATTGAACCTGTTGTACTTCAGAAGTGCCAAGACGATCTAGGTTTGAAATGTCGAAAGTGCCGTCAGTGGATGCCGTATCCACGCCTCCTGTGCCACGTTTCTGGAGACGATAATGCTTCAGAATGGATTCAAATCCAGCGTGCTTGCTGAAAAGAGGAATCTTGATGTGGACTCCTGCACGTACACCTGTACCAAGGTTGGATGGACAAGTGAGCACATATCCAAGATGCTCATTCCATGAGAATTCATACCCTTTTGCTTTGAGAGCATTCTCGACTTTGTTGAGACCATTACAGAATCGTTTAAAGACATTCTTCATGTTGCCACTTGTTTCCATGGAAATAACCCGAGTGTGATCTTCCTCATTTATCCAAACCAGGAAGTTTTTATCGGCATTGTGCCAGATCCCACGTCCATCAGGCCAATCACGGGCCATGCGAGCTGACATAAGCAAAGGAGAAACGGGCTTATCGAATAGGAAATGATCTGCAATTAGTTTGTCCTGCATTTCCTCTGTCATCCCCGTTAGTGGGTAATACGTGCCTTTGAGTGGCCCATCTAGAGTTGCCAGTGCGTCCTTGCAAACTTTCTCAACGTCTCGACGTTCAGCCCTCGTGCAATGTGGTGGGAGGCCGTACCCTCTAATGCAGCGGCCTGTACGAACTCTGCATGAAAGGACATACTTTGGATCAAAGTCATCACCACCCTTGAGATGATCAGGGTTGAGATCAGTTGTGTGCTTTGCATTGCGGGGATATCCGTTGTGTCTTTTGTCAATAGTTGGATCAAAGAGGTCAGCAAAGAGATCGTAACACTCTTCATCCCCAGCCACCAATCCGACAGTCTTGATGAAAGGATGTCCTGGATTGTCCACGCCGGTCTGCATGCAACCATCCACAGAGTAACCAGAAAGTGTGCGAAGGTTACAGATTTTGTTGTAAATGGAAGGCGTTAAAGATTCTGCCAGGTAATTGTTGTGCTTGCTTAGGTCAGGGTAATTGGGATCCGGTCTGTTGAAGAAGAGATACAGATTTACAATCAAACGACAATCGTATCAATAATAACGAGATGAAGAAAATAGTTTGGTTATATGTACATCAATTATAAAGACACCTTCTAAGATTAAAGGCATCGTTTAACAATGTTAAATCTGAGATATATGGCCCTACGTGTTATCAGTGTCTGTGATATGGTGTGATATTGAAGCCCTTAACAATTGCGCTTCAAAATGATCATGAAGTGCCTCAAAAAAGTAAAAATCTTTGAGTGACCAGTAGACTGTAGTGTTATAAAAACCGTTGGGGAAAACGAAAAATAAAATTTTGATTTCCAATCATTAATATCTTGATTATCAGACAGGCGATATGCTTGTAAAAGTCATGGGATTCCTGACTGACCTAAAGGTTTATAATTATGATGGTAGCATGAGCTAAATCGAGGATTTTGTTTCAGAATCTGAGGCAATGTTACCGATTCACTTTAATATAGGACTATACAAGAATCCACGGCTTACAGACATGACAAAGATAAAGGTAATCAACATTGAAAGTATTACAATTTACATGGATTTCAAAGGTGTCTGCAAAATGGACTTTAGATTTTGACGAAAGAGTCTAGGCTATTTCGCCCATTTTTAGTGAAGTGATACTCCACGTTTTCACATATCTTCACACTTTAATGAAACATAAATGTATATGATATGTCGTTCTTGCAGCACTGACTTGCGTTCTGCACTGAAAGCTACGGTAAACTCGACGATGTTGATACAAAGTAATAAACGTAAACAAGAGCTAAAGACCAAAATTTAAATAAACCAAATCTTTTGTTTACCCGTTTTTCTTCAAAAATCAAAATTACATAACTTTTGCCTGTCAATATTTTAAGGTGCTTTTGGCAGCCTATCCTTAAACCTTTTTGTGAAGGCGGGCCTCAGAGATAAACAAAATAAATAACCTAAAGTAATCGCTCAACTCCAAAGTAACTTTGCCATGTTCCCATTGATACTTTGATACTAAATTTGATACTATAATTAAGTTTACAACTTACTCCACAAATGGTTCAGATTCTTTAGTGAGTTCTTCAGCTGCTCCTGTCGTTTCTGCTATGTTTGCTGCGTTTGGACTAAAATGAAAATTTGACCAAAACAAAACAAAATCAAAACAAAATAAATAACAAAATAACTTACTAAATAAAAATCAACATAGTCAATAACACTTTTTTTAAATTTTGAGCAAGGAAGATTTCTTTGTGAATTGAATTTATTTCTCTTGTTTATTGTGCTACCCATTACACTAATGAATTTCGACTTGGGTCTTTTTTCTTTGAATCTTTTAAAAATCTTCATTCACCATCCATCATTCGAAGCGATGTAGAAACAACATTAAGAAATATCAAAAAAGACCTTCAGTCCTTACCATGATTGAAAATTCATTATTGATAAACATGCAAAACTATGAAGGCTGTGATCTTTCAATCTTCTTTGTGATATCAATAAAGGTGAAAATATACTTCACTCTTTCTTTAAAGACCGTCAATACTACTGGGCCAGAAGGGATTAAACCACACAGCAAGGTCATTGACAGGTGGCTATCTCATTAACTCTGCTCTCGACTAACATAAGAAAAAGAGGATCATGGGGGACCAACAGGCACCGATTGGGAAAGTTTTCTATATAGAGGGAGCAAGTAACTACAAAAAAAAATTCAATTCAATGACCAAATGGAGGAGAGAAACAGACAAGGAGAGACATAGAAGAAGGAAACGTAATAAGATGACATCGCTTTGTAGCGCGTCTGCAGCAGGTCATATACTATTATTACAAAAGAGAAATATGTTTCTAATGTTATAGAAGTCATATGAGTAATACAAACGAAAACATTCAGCTTACTTGTTATTAGCGGGGGCCGGGTTTGCCTTTGCACCAGCAGCTGGTTGACCACCTGGTGATAAAGTAATTTTATCAAAATGAAGTCAATTAGTTACTCAGGGGTCAGCATTAACGTGAGCATATAAGGGAGGAGTGCATATATTTAACATATTATAAGCAAAATTGGCGAATTCAACGATTTGAAATGTAGACCGAGTGCATGTTGTGGGGGAATCAAAATTCTTCACAAAAGTTGGTCAGTGTGATCCCCCAAAAAGTTGATGAAAAGACTAATTACAAGGATAATACTTAAAGGGATCCGGTAACTTTGTCTCAGATTCTGAAACAAAATTCAAGATTTAGCTCATGATGCAATGATAATTATAAACCTTTAGGTCAGTCAGGAGCCCCATGACTTTTACAAGCCGATCGCCTGTCTGATTATCAAGATATTTATGATTGGAATTACAAATTTTGAAAACCGTTCGCCTGACGGTTTTCATAACACTACAGTCTATTGGGGAAAACGAGTATGGTAAAACCGGTCACTCAAAGATTTTTACTTTTTTGAGGCACTTCTTGATCATTTTGAAGCGCAATTTTTTTAGGGCTTCAATATTACACCATATCACAGACACTAATAACACTTAGGGCTGTGTATCTCAGATTTAACATTGTTAAACGATCCCTTTAAAGGGAAAGTCCACCCCCAAAATAAGTTTGTTTCGATAGAGGCAGAATAATAAGAAAATCAGGTGAGTGAAAGTTTGAGCAAATTCTGAATGAAAATAAGAAAGTTATGAGTTATTGAAGTTGTGATCAATCAAATACAAATTGGCAACTCTGTGACTTATTACATGTATACGAGCTCTCCTTCATTTGCTTTGTGCATAATATTCCATAAAATCATGTTTTCTTCGTTATTGATGACGGAATATATATTTGTTCCTTGCAGGGGGAGTATAGAAACATATTTGCAATTATTATATTTAGGGTGCATGTATGGTTGAAATTTTTCTTGAGGGAAAATGAAAATTTTAGATTTTTTTAGTACTGAGCAAATGGAAGTTGAGCTCGCATGATACGTCATAGAGTTGCCAATTTGTGTTTGATTGATCACAACTTCAAAATTCCTAACTTCCTTATTTTTAATCGGAATTTGCTCAAACTTTCACTGACTTGTTTCTCTCATTTTTCTACTCCTATTAAAACTAACTTAATTTCAGGGTGGACTTTCCCTTTAAGTTGATGAAATCATACCAAAATATTAATGGATTGACATTTTTTTTAAAAATGATTGAGAAAGATGTAAAAAGATCACATTCAGACTGCATGTACACCATTAAATCGGAATAGACTCTAGTCTGCACCTTTTGACTTGTTAAAGGTACTATGTCCCTTTTGCAGCCAACCTCAAATGCTGTAGAACTTTGCAGGAATTATGAATATGTCATGTATGTCCTATCTGTGAAATTTAAACGATAGCAGCGTCCTCATATTCAAATTATGCAAGGAAACCCGTTTACTTGCTAGACTTCACTGTCAGACACTATTGAGTGACTGACTGGCTTTTTTCTTCTTTGGTAATAACATACATGAAAAGAGTTCTAAAGGGTTCATGAGCATTTGTCTACATCAATAACCCACTTCTTGTGATGGCCAAGATTAAAGTGATCGAATCTTTGCGCAGCATAAAACGTATTCCATTCGGTACAATTGTCTGAAAATCAAGACTATTACTTTTGGGCTCTATAGCCCTAATGTCGATTTGACAACTAATAGTCGTTATTTTCCCACTTGAAGACGTTTTCAAGCTCCATCTTTTTTAGGAAAGTTCTAAATTAGTATTATCTTTCAAATGCAGTTGGAATTTAAATTTTTCATTTTTTTGGCCTGCAAATGGGACATAGTACCTTTAAGAGGTGATAATTTCATCTGTCCCGCTTGGACGGCATCACGGATCCCCTCTCGTTAAAAGTAAGTCAAAAGATTTTTGTTGTTTAAGTCCTAGATCTACGTCTACACCTTACAGGGGTAAGCCCAAGCAGATGACTTTTTCTTTCTAGGTCTAGTCTACTCTAATACAGACTTGTTCAAAGTAACTTTTGAAAGTATATGTCCAGATATACACAACCCGTCCGTCAGGGCGCTAGTGCACTTTCGTTTCGCCATTTATGGTGCACCACCTGTCCAGCGCTTGTGCTTCATTTCATCACGTCACACATTTGCCATATTCATTCATGCCATATTGGTTTCCTCATTCGTACTCCATGCATATAATCTACAGGGTAGATCTAGTCTAGTATAGACTCTACACATAATGATGATAAGGACGCCAGTGCGAGTTGACTAGATAAATAAAGCATAGATTTCTAGACTTCTACCCGCGGTGCGAAAGTGCACGACTAGCGCCGACACAAATCCTAAAAATCGTAAGGACTCTAGCCTAGAGATCTACATTCATATCTACCGTAGATTTAGGATCTAGATCTGTCTTTTCAAGTAGATTTAGGGTCTAGCCCTAGATCTAGAGTCTAGCCTTCAAAAGAGAAGGCTTTAGGTCTAGACCCTATGATTGTAGATCTATCTGTTCAGTGTCCGGACACCCAGCTCCCCATCAATAAAGGCATTATTGTTCATACACACTTAGGCCTAGATCTACTCGATCTCATACACAGATTCCAGACGTTGTGCATCCGGACAGTCAATTTAAACCACTGATACAAAGTCCCGGGTACAAAGTGAGTGATAGACTCTGTAAGTCTATGAAAAAAGTTTACATGCAATGTTCTTAATCTTAGTTTAAGAATTATTTTAGACAATCTTCTGAAAACAAATATTCAATATGGTTAGATTAGTGCTTAGTCTATTGATGAATGCTTTTTTTTAATACTAAGGCGAAAGGGACGGCTTTAAAATAGCCTTTATTTTTGTTAACCGACCGGACACACAGCCTCCAATCACACGCAATTATCAATCTGACGTTTTCAAACTCGGGTTAGTCAGTCAACCATGAAAATATTGAAATTGTCTCAACTAAACCTTAAATTTAATAATTTTCCTTCATACCTGTGGCCGTCGTTTGTTGTGACGATGCTGCGCATCCCATTGCTGGGTCACTGATTACAATGCATATGTAGAAAATGAAATAATTAATACAAATTTGTTCCTTTCTTGATTAGAAGTGTGATTGAAGTTTAGGTTCTTCTGCAACAGCTGTTTGAATCATGGCGCTTATGGCAACAGTAACACGTGACGTGGTATACGCGCTTTATGCATTGGTTGGGTACGCGTGTTCTTGACGTCACGTCAATGACCTCTTCGCGTTAACGTACGCTAGAAGCGCGTTGCACGTCACAATAAATTCTTTGTGACGACATGTGGAATTGTGTTATGAAGGGGGGGGGGTGGAGTCACAGGGAAAAAAAATCATTAGACGCTTAAAGGTACTATGTCCCTTTTGCAGCCAACCTCAAATTCTGTGGAACTTTGCAGGAATTATGAATATGTCACGTATGTCCTATCTGTGAAATTTAAACGTTAGCAGTGTCCTCATATTCAAATTATGCAAGAAAACCCGTTTACTTGCTAGACTTCACTGTCAGACACTATTGAGTGACTGACTGGCTTTTTTCTTCTTTGGTAACAACATACATGAAAAGAGTTGTAAAGGGTATATGAGCATTTGTCTACATCAATAACCCACTTCTTGTGATGGCCAAGATTAAACTGACCATTTGGTACAATTGTCTGAAAATCAAGACTATTACTTTTGGGCTCTATAGCCCTAAAGTCGATTTGACAACTAATAGTCGTTATTTTCCCACTTGAAGACATTTTCAAGCCCCACCTTTTTTAGGGAAGTTCTAAATTAGTATTATCTTTCAAATGCAGTTGGAATTTAACTTTTTCATTTTTTTGGCCTGCAAATGGGACATAGTACCTTTAAAGGGATAGTTCTTGTTTCAGACCGCAAATGCCTTCAAAGTGCCTGGTTATTGCTTTTATTCTTATTTATGACATTTCGAGTGTCCTTTTAGGACCTAAAAATGATATGAAGGTCATTTTAGACCCCAAAATGTGCGAAATTTATCCGAAAAATAATACCAATTCAGCTCCACTTTCAAAGAAATACGGTGACCGTTGATTAATTAATTAATTAATTAATAATAACAATACACGAGCCGGCAGGTTATGCGTATTATAACCAACACGGCTGGTTCATCATGATTATCGAATATTTGTGGGGCACCACAAATATCAGAAATCGTAGTATTTATGGATATTTCAGCCGTCTCTGAACCGATTGTGATGATGATAATGTCATTTAAATTGTATGTTCTTTCAAATTTGACGTTCAGTTTTTCATTTTCTCACACAAAAATTATTTTGTGTTGCGCCCTCTGCAACAAAACTCAACTATCCCTTTAATATCATTTCGCACACGGGGAGTATCGCGAATGAATAACAAGATGATAATGATACTTGACATTATATAATGGATTACATCAATTATACAGTATACTTAGGGGTCTGACCACTTGACAGAAGACCCGCGAGACCGAATATAAATTGTTTCATATGTTCATATTTCATGAAAATGATATACAGAAAGAAACCTATCATTAAAGTTCCGTTCACATGACAATAAATTAATAATTATAAAGAGCACACACATTCGTCTTCACAGGTTTTTGTTTTATGCACCATTGTAGCTGTGGAAGTGTTGCTGTCAATTTCATAGAAGTGCCCTATTTTAATGAAATATGAAAATTTGATTTCTGCGTTTTGCTACGTATCCTTAGATTGTATCTCCATTAAACAATTATTTGAGAGAGACTGGTATTTTATAAAATCTTAAAGATATCTGACGTTTTACAGAAAACTACCTTCCTCACTTTGTGACATGTTACAGGAAATGAGTTGGACAGTACGGGAAAATAATCTTGCAATCATTTTCAGTTTTCAAACAAAAATGGGTTTTGGTCTGCACACCAAAATTATGCATGAAAGCGCGTGATGGGATCCATTGTCTTGACTTTTCTGCAATCGACGTCTGAATTTAGGCAAGTAGATTTAAATGTGATAAAAGGTAGCATTTTAATTTCGGTCATTTTAGCTAAGTAGATGCGTTATTTCTGCGATTAGGCACCCAATATTACACACAAAAATTATCACTATTTACGAAAAGTTATATTATATTTTAGCATTTTCCCCTCAAAGCTAATCATCAACAGGTTATTGCAATGAAATTACCTAATTAATGATGGTTTTATTTTTTATCATAAATGAAAAGTGAGTAATTCATTTTCAGATTTTTGATCTTTTTATCCCAAGTTTTCATTTGTGTATAACCGATTTCTTCTTCCCCTTTTCTTGTTCTCCTATTTTTATTCTTGTTCTTCTCCTTCTTTTTCTCCTGTTCCCTTTCCCCCCTTCTTCTTCGTCTTCTTCCTACACCTTTTTTTTTATACTAAACTTTCTTTACCATATAACTTACCAACATTTAAAATTTACACTTTAAACTTATATCCTACTACTCCATGCACAGTATTATCATAATAACAATAATATCAATTTTTGATGCAGTTTGAATATATGCAAGATGTTTTTGAATTTATATTTCCCAATGTATTTTAAACGTTTGTACAAATGTATTTATGCCATTTTTAAAAAGGAATATTTGTAATATCATCGCAATTCGGCTATGCCGCAATGATGTTTTTCATTAATAAACCAGATATCTATCTATATATCTATGATGTATAGTGTTTTGCTCTATTAACAAGCCCGAATCACTCCATTACATCCACTTTATGCCAGGGGCCGATAAATATATGCCTACATTATTTTAAGCACCAAGCTATATAAACTCACAAAAATGACATCCCAAATCCAAATGTGTGTGCTGAAGCATAATTATGTATTTTATGTCGTATAACTGCACACATATGGTTTTCGGTCTCGCGGGCCTTCGATCATCTAGGCTGTCGTCACACTTGCCCGAATCTCCACTTTCAATTTTGTTCAAGCAAGTGGAGTGAGTAAAATATGTTTTACTCTTTACCTTAGTGAAAAGTTGTATAGTGTAATCAGAATATATTAGGGGAGATTATTATAAAACTATATACAACCTATCGTTTGACTGCCTAAATATTAGGTGATGGGTCCCCGAATTTCAAATTCTCTAGGGTGACACCCCTGCATTACACGCCTATGATCACATATGGTTTGCATATGACTTTTAAAAGATAGCTATCATTAAAACAGATGTATTGTCGACTAATGAGTAGTGACATTTAAAGAAAACTACTACCCGTCACTGATCGGGGGGACCCCAGTTCAAGTGAGCTGCCGATGTAACTTGATCGTCCGTAGCCTATATTCCTGTAACACAGGCTCTGTACAGTGCATGGTTTCAAGTTTGTATGTGAAGACATCATATACATCTCAGGTGAGATGATATTGATCCGTGGATGTGCTATATCCGTCCCTTATAGTAGTCGATGATGATCATATATCACGTGCAGGGAACATTATGGGATGTGCATTATAATAGCCCCGTCATCATAGGCACTGGAATGAGGGGGGCAAGGGGGCGCTCGCAAAACGGGGGCAAAACGCCTTTTCGCCCCCCCCCCCCCACCCAAACCCCCGCAGAAAAGTAAAAAAAAACCAGTATAAATCCGGAGGTACTCACAAAAATAAGACATACAGGGGTGTGCCGCTCTAATGGGTCACTTTTTCACAAAATGGGCTTTACTTCAAGAAAAAGAGGTGTCAAAATATGCTCATCTGACCGTAATTGAATGCCTTAAACCCCTGAGCTTCCGGGGTCCATGCGCCCCTGGAGCGGACCCCTGGATGCTCATCTGACCATAATTAAATCCTAAAACCCCTGAGCTTCAGGGGCCGCCCCTTGACCTCCGCCGGGGCAAAATCCCTGGACCCCACGCCAATGTACGCTCCACTCGCTCCACTCGCTTCGCTTGCTATACGCTCTACCTGATCGTTTATACTCCACTTTGAAAAACGTTTCGCGGGGCCCTGCATGTAACATATAAGAGTGCATGGTGGTAATGCAGATTTTTCTTCTGCCCCCTAAACGTGTTTGCGCATTACGCCACTGACCGTGGAAGGTGAGCCCCCTGGAATGTCCCCCCCCCCCCCCCCCCCGCCCCCCCCCCCAATCCCTGACTTTTTCCGGCGCGCCTGCCCGTCATAATTATAACCTGACGAAATATATTAAGTTCAAACCTAACCACTGCGGAGATAACGAGAGTTCAGATCATATAATATTCGAGACGAGACGAGACGAGACGGGAACTCATCTGGTAAGCAAATGCAGTAAGTGTGCATAGACATAGTACAAAGTAAGGCAGTTGGAGTTCATTGGGGTCTGTCAAAAAAATATAAACTTCCACATTGAGACAAAAGGGACGAGCATATAGGGCGCAACCAGTATCCAAGAATGAAGATGTAAAGCTCCTATTTGGTCGTTGAAATCGCATAGTATGTGATTTCAACGACCAAATAGACAAGGTGAAATAGGCAAGAAGACCAATAATCATTCTCACAAAGAAGGGGAAGATAATCTTATAAAACATATTGCAATTCCCAGAGACTGTATATAGAGCTTGGAAAAACGACGATAAAAAAGGTAAAACGATCTGGCATGAGAGCTAAAAAAGGGATATGGAAGGCAAAGACAGTAGTGGTCCGAGCCTTGTGTGTGCCACAGTGCCCCCATCCCCACCCCAACTTTTTCAGTACCCTCAAAGTGCCCATTTTAAAGTAGAAAATTACACGTTTTTACGTGGGAAAAGTCCCCTTTTAATTTGACACGTACCCGTCTTCCTATCTAATAATTACCCCTTTTCACCTCTGATAAGTGCCCCTATCCAAATATGATAAGTGCCCCTTTAACTTTGACACATGCCCCTTTCCATTTTTTCATCCAATTATGAGTACTAATCGGTCGCAATTATCTTGTATCGTTTTACTCGCTCGCCAAGTTTATTTAGACCGTCATCAGCTAAGTATGGTGCTGAAGCAGTACCTTAGACCACGTAACAAGAACATCTAGAAGATCATCACTGACAATTTATTAGTTACAATGAATGGGGTGTATCCAAATTCTAACATTCGTAATTTTGAGCTTTGAGATTACCCTTTGAAGATGCTTTTTTTTTCAAAATACAGAACTATATGTTTACATTATTGTCGAACTCGTGATAAAGAAGTCAGATGCTATGTAATGATTGAACGAGAGATGGCGCTATTAAAAAAGTCTATTGCATACGACATACAGTTGTTTTAAAACTACTCTGTATTTTAAAACTATATACATGTATAGGGAAATCCAACCTCGAAAGCAAACTACTCTAGAAGAAAGCAGAACATTAGAGAAGCAGACTTGAAGTTTGAATGAAATAGGACAACCTTTGAATTATGTAATCCTGTTGGAATTGGATCTTCAAATTGGCTGAAGGGTTCCCATTTGTTCCAACGCACGAAATGACTAAAATTTGATTTCGCAAAATTATATGACTCTCGCAGGAGGCTCTTTTCTGTTTAAAGGACCTATAGTAATAAGCTATTCATTTCATATTTGTAGTCGACCCCTAGGGAGAAGGCACTTACGAGAATCATTTGTACACGACGAACATGAGATTTATCGGCAATTGCGTCACAATTCACTAACCAAATTGTCAATTTGAGATTCGCATAGACTTATTGATCTCATATTTCAAACATTCTGATTTTCTGTGCCCTCAACTGTATTATGATTATAGCAAGAAAAGAAATTTTTGCAGCCAAATGCAAACAGTATTTGCCAGTTTTTGAACACATAATATAAAGTGTTATTGTGAAGGAATTGCAAAGTGTTTCTGATAGTTTATTTCTTCTAAATTGTTTTACCAAGTAAATCTGTGATATTTTAAAAATGTACTACAATTTGTAACTGATATCTATATGTTCTTATCATATTTTGAATGGCGAAGAACATCGTTTTTGACATTTTGCATGTATATATCTCTTCTTGTATATATATGTGAACGATATTATTTAATAAAGGAACCCTGTGGAGGGGGGGGGGGGGGGGGGGGTCAGATTTTCTTACTTTTCTGCCTTCATACAAATGAACCTGTTACAAGGATCGGATTGCCCTAGTCAGGGGTGCCAAGCATCTCTTGCCCGATTATCAATTTCTATTTTCCGAAATAAAAGTAATGTGTTTACATGTTTATAAAGAAAGAAAATCCATAATAGTGAAAGTATCATGTTAATGGACTATCTCGCTGCCAGGTGAAAGCTGCCTGAATGTGAAAATTCCAGGACACAATGTTCCTCTACTGTCACTTCCCCAAACTGGGATATATGACCTCCATGGTATATGTATGTCACTTCTTTTCTTCTTCTTTTTTTTTTGGGGGGGGGGGCATACGTTATGAGGCTCTAATTTCTGGGTTTTCTAGAGATTCTACATGTGTACATGTTTTTAAATTTTGTATTGATTAAAAAATTGCAACCACATTCAAAATCTTTCTTCATCCTTGTTTTGAAGGGGGAAAATGGGAAAACAAAACAAATGTGAACCGATTAGAAGATCAATTTTAACCGAAAAATTTAATTGGACATTTTTATCCCTCTCTGACGAAGTTTTTTAAATTTTTTTATTCACTCTGTCAAGGGTTCGTTTCTTTCATTCCTCATTTGAGGGCCTGGTTATTTTGGTTTCATACTCATTCTTTCTTTTTATCTCCCTCCTTCATACAGATGTGCACAACTAACATCCAATTCTCTTGCATGATACTTCGCAATTAACAAATGTAGACCACAGCACTAAAAATGTCATGCACAAATCTTCGCCGGTTACAAATATTTTAATAGTCAGAATGTGAATTGCATACATTTAATTGTTCCTAGGTAGGACAAACATGGCTAGTCCTTTTTAACAAGTAATCCATGCAACTTGCATTCCGACTATTGAAATACACAATTGTTCATAACAGGTTTTCTCTCGCTTCATTCATTTGCAATCAACTTCAGAGCACCCTAATGCCACTTGGAAAAATTGTTTCTTCCCATGGTCCTTATATACATTTTAAAGGTGGGGTCCACCTTGCATTTGGACATTGCGAGTGATAAATCAGTTGAGCTATCGGGTCTTGAAGAGTTCCTTCTCACTACACTGGTTTGTTGGGTCACATAATATTCACATTTCCAAAGTCATATTATCTGGTTTAAAAGAAAAAAATAGACAGTCGATTTCATTTATTTCTTTTTTTTATTGCGGTGAACATGATTATGCAATGCTTTGCAATGATATTCTATGGTGTGCAAAACATAAACATAAGAATATATACTCTTGTTTTCTCAATGAAATATTTCCAATTGATAATATTGTAAAAAGCCAAGGAAATTCATATACCATGGTAACAGACGAGTTCATTCATCAAGAATTTTACAACATGTAAAAGGCAAAATATAATTTGTATATACAAGTTCTGTACAGATGAGTTGCAAGACGTGCAAGGAGGTTCAAGCCGCAATGACAGGGAAAAAATTGATATAATTTTTGTACTGGTAATCTCAAATAAAATATAAAATAAAATATAAAATAACTTGAAGCTGTAACTCCTCATAATAACATTACTATTCATCTTCATATTCCAACTTCAGTTTTAAGTATTTGTTTTCAATCCATATCTAGGCAAGACTTCTTATAACAATGTTCAACAAGTGACATTTGCAAATCCACCTCCTTTCCTTCTACACATCTAATATCTTTTTTTAATAGCTTGAATTCGAAGTAAATCTCCGTGGAAAGAAGCTGTATGTACAGTGAATATATAGAACATGTAAGTACATCACCGAGTTGCATAAATCTTTTGAGTATGGCAATGAGTAATGGAAAAAAAAAGAAAAAGAAAAAGAAAAAAAAAAAAATCTACGATAAGCTTAGTTATTGGTAACCAATATTCCAAACTCCTATAGCTACAGATTTTCTGGCCACCAAATGCTCAAAGGAAAAGTAGGCCTCTTCCCCCATTATTTTTTTCTTGAATATAACACGTGCTTTTGTTAAATATCTGTGTAATCATTCTTCACCTTATGAAAGGTTTTAATTTCAGACCACTGGCCATTTCAGAAATCACCACTTTTTCAAGCGTTGTCAAATTCGACAATGTTTAAAATCAAAATTCTCTTCCCCTTCAAAGACAATTCATGTAAGCACATGTTTTGTCTTGATAAATGAAAGATAAAACCTTACATTTGTCCTACACATATAACTTGTCATACGCCTAAGGCATACTGACCATTTATGTTACAAATCACATTAAACTGGTATAGATATTTCACTACTGTACAACTTATGTTACAAATTAAATATCTGATTTCTCATATGTACACCAAATAATAGCAATAATTCTATCATAAAAAGTTCTAAGGTTCTTCAAGATTCAAGTTTTTAGACCATTATTTATTTAAGAAAAAATTGAGATTAAATCATCAATGTAAGCAAGTTTTTATCTTTAAAAAAAGGCTTTGATAGTGTTTCTCTTTAGACTGGTTACTATATGACAAGTTGCTCCTATACAGTTACATGTGTGGGTGAACATTGCAAGTAAGGATTATGAAATATCTTTCTCTATCACAAGCATACAAAAAAAAACATTCATCAAGTTGCACAGACTTAGGAACTTTGCATATAAGATAATTTATTCATCATTAGCTTCCAGTGATTAAACATTGCAAAGGGGAGTGGTGTTTTGATGATTAAGTGCAAACTACGTCTCACTGTGAAATTAGCTTTTGCACTACCAAGTACCAACAGTGTTACACCATATCACGTGCAACAAAATGGAATGCAAGAAGATTCCAAAAAGTTCGTAAATTTAGTAGGGAAAATGGCATAATAATTTGTTTCTACTGTAATGATATCATTTCGGCAGAGTACCAACTAGAAACTAAGAAAGCCTATACGTGAAAAGATACTGCCATTTATGATGCAAGCGCTGTAGTGGTAAAACATATAAATGTTTAAGTCATTGAATAATGTTTATAATCACAAAGTGCAGCTTCTTTCATTTACACTACAATGAGCCGTGCAAATGTGAAGGATACAAAGTGACTTTTGGCTAAGAAATGGGAGAATGCAAGTTATTCATCTCAATTGCTTCACTACTCATTTCAGTATCAAAAAGGGCAAGATGATTCAATTACATTCAATATTTTAGACAATATTCACAAAAACAAAATGGTTCATACCATTAATCCTAAGTTGACATCTTTTAGCATGCCTCGTGGAATTAACCTTTTAGTCCTTGAGTTGTTTATTGCGCTGTTGGTCCTTTACTCCAAGGCACTGGTACACCACACAAGAGGACTGGGTGAAAGACGGGTAAGACCTGACTGATCAGTCCAAACAGCTGGCTTCTACCATAGCCTCGTTCCACCTGTACATAATAAAAGGAAGAAGATTTGCTAGTATTATTTCAATGTTTGTCACAAAAAAGAAAAAGGATGGCACAGAAAAAATAACAAAACATGTGCATTTCATTTTTCTTATTGGGATCTGAATGCTCCATCATCAAATATGCTAAATTTGTCTTGTTACACATATCAATATTGTTTTCTGGATATGCGATCTGTTTTCAACTGAATTAGCTAACCAGAAACATGGTACTGTATTTCCTTCTGAAGGATTTACCTGTAGCCAAAATACTGAAGGTTGCACAAAAACATTAATCCATTTGAGGGAAGGTTGACTTCTGGTAAAGTTTAACCCTATTAAGCCTGGGGCGGGGGGGGGGGGGGGGGGGGGCTTTAGAAGCCCCACCCCTCGACATTTTTCGCAATAATTTTTAACGCAAGAAAATCTTGCACTGAAATTTTGTGACTTTTTTCTTTTGAGTCTTGCGCATCTTTTGAAAGAAATTTTTTGAAAATCGGACCTACCGTTACAAAGTCACGTGTCCTTTTGTCTTTGCATGTCAGCCCCAAAAAATCAAATCAAATTTGATTTGTGTACAAAACATATGGAAATCTCATTTTTCAAATAAAGAGATAAAACATTGGTTATTTGGTCTTGTTTATAGGTCTAGTTAAGGGTCAAAATAGTTGAATTATAGTTGGAAATTAAATAAAACAACAAAAACAATAAAATACATAAGTTAAAAAAAAAAACATAAGAAATTATCAAAATAGGTAACATAAGGAATAACCCTGGTTTTCAATTTTTGTGTTGTATTATTATTCCAAATGGTCTAACAAATATATGTAGTGAGAAAGAATGCTTAAATACGAATGTCATATATGGGCAAAAATGTGAATTTGATGCCCTTACTTGCATAAATTACCATAAATATGCAAATAAGTGAATTTTCCGAAAAATTGAAATTACCATAGTATTCTATACACTTAACTTGACATGTATGCACATTTTTGCGGCGATCGGACGTTTCACGGCCGAGATCATAGGGGGGGGGGGGGGGGGGGGGGGCCTATGCAGTTTCAAAAAAATAGCCCGGGCTAAATAGGGTTAAGAGTTTTCCAATTTGAGAGATTTCCATGGAAAGATTTATCAAGCTCTTATTAAGACTAACAATTAAAATTCCTATGCCTCAAAGAGCTGCGAAATCCCACGTAACCTAATAAGGAACTATTCATAAATTTACTGATTCATTTTGATGATTCTAAAACCTAAAAAATCACTGACTCTCTCACAATGCAGTCATATGACCTGCTTTTTAAACTTATTTTTTTTTTTATTAAACTTCATCTTTAACTGCCAAGTGTGGGAGGCCTAAAAGGAAAAGCTCTTTTGGATTTTTACCTTGCACATGCTTCAGGTGTCTCCGATCTCAAGATGATCTTCATCCTTCCCTGGGTAAGTTGGAGAATCAAACCGGACTCGTATCCTTCAAACGTCTGGTGGAGGAAGAACGGAAATGAGTAGAAGAATTAATATCAAGTTTTAGTTCACTAATTTTGAAATTCATTTTCTTCTACAAGACAGGGCAGCTTAATATTTCTAAACCCTAATTAAAATCTACTGATATAATTAGTCAGGATGAGACAAGAAATTGGGTCTGAACAAGGCGACTGTTACAGAAAACAGCTATTTTTTTTTCTTCAGGTGAAAGAATTTAAATGAAAATCAAGTGACGAACATGAGAAATTGCTCCTTTTTGTCACCTTCTTTATCTGCTGTTTGACAAGAAACATTTTCTTCCAGTGTTCTTCATATTTTTAGATTAAATATAATATAAAAGTAATGCGTCTTCTAATACACTTTCTAATACCCGAGTCACACCGACACCAGACCAACCAGAAACATTATATTTCCCTAAGTAATACAATACAATACAATGAACATTTAGGGCGCCATCCCATAAGGCTCAGAGCGCTAATGGCAACAAAAATCAGTCAGTTTGGATCGGTCGGTCTGATTATATCTCAATCAAGTACATCATGTTTAAAATGAATGTAAGAATTACCTCATTGATAACGCAGACTGCATAGCCAAGCAGCGGTGTACTTGACAGGGCTACCACATCCTCGCTTGCCTTGTAGGTATAGAGGACCTTCTCCTTGATACGATACCACATACGCTTCCAATCTTTCTTCCGGACCCTAAGCCAGAGGTATCCGCCCATTGACGAGTTGGATTCATCCCTAGCCGAGACCTGAATGAAAAAAACATAAGAAAAGGTTCTTGGAATTATTTCCTGATCAAAGACAGACAGCACACTGTTCCAGGGTTAGAGCTATTAATATTACCAGATTTTTCAGGTCCTAATGTCATCATGAAACTAAATTATAATGAAACTTACATAAATTTAGATTTTTTAGTTTTACAAAAGCTTTAGAAAGAATGATCTACTACCTATGAACAGTCAAAACCTGTCTTAGCAACCACCAATTAAAAATCAAAATGGTCGCCAGCACCAACCTGTCTACAATGGCTACTATTTGTGTTTCCCTTGGCGGTCACTATAGGCAGGTTTGACTGTACATGGTGCAGTTTGAGAACTGAACTGCAGACTTCTTCCCCCCCCCCCCTAATTTTGTTTGTATTTCTATTTTTTTAAATAAATTTTGCAATTGACATGTACCCTTTCTCCAAACCTATTGACAAAACATTTCTTCAAGATCAATTTCAATTCATTTTCAATTCATATTAGTAATTCATATCAATGTACAGATGTTTGGGAGATACTGTTTAATGTACATCCTAGGTTATACACCTTTTAAAGTTTTATAAAATCATTACTTTGTAACAGCTGTGGATGTCTGGGAAATGCTACCCTAGGGATTCCTAGGTTACGAAGAGCTTACCTTCAAAGCACTTGATCTGTTTATGTTAGACTTCCTTCTTTTGGTCTTGTTACCCTTGCTGCTCTTTTTATTGGTCCTCTCTTTCACTTCTTCACCATCTTTCCGCTGAGCTATAACATCAAGATAAAGAAAAAGATTAATTTATGGTTCCTAGACAATCGAAAACATGTCCTATCGTAATGTGTCATATCTGATATCCTCATAACATGCAAACAATTCTATTTTACTGTTTCTACCAAATCTACTTCAATCTTTACTTCATTAAAGAGTGCCAAGTCTGACAGACATGAGCGCTATACAAGAACCCGCTATTATTAGGAGGGCATGTACTACATACATCTTCTTGACTTGTCGCTAAACAGGAATATTTCTCACAAGTAATTTGAATTGAACCATACCCCATGCCTCGTTCCAACACAATGAGGTTGAAACTGTCTATAAAAACCCACAGGAAAATAAAACGATGTGCATCTTTTACGCCGAGCAGGCACACCGTGCACATAAGGGAGCATGTCTAGGGACCATTATCCTTGATTCCCCAACCTCACTTGCCTCCATAATAGTTAAGCGTTTCATTTGTAACTAGACTTCATTGGAAATGGGCCTTGTATTAAAGATATACTTACATACAACCAGTGTTTCATAGCAGTTATCACACACTCTAGCTTCCTTGTCAGAGAGGTACATCAAAGTTGCTTTGTTCTTGGAACAAGAGCCGCACGTTACCTGCACAAGGAAATACAATTGTGGCGAGTATGAATGCATGAGATCAACGATTGAACGTGTTTTTATTACATATTAGATATTGTTTTGATTCAATTTGGATTATGCTGTAAATAGAGTCTGTAATTGTCACCAGTAAAAAGCTAATAAAAATCAGAGGTCACTCAGAGGTCACGTGTGAACAAAAAAAAATTAAATAAATACTCCATCAAAACAAACTTGCAGATATAATGGGCCATACCTGATAGACATTGGAGAGCTTGACTAATTTTGGAATATGAATTACATTGTTTGACATTCATGGACAACCATAGCCAAATCACTGATGTACTGATAGTGTACTCAGTTCAACCCATAATAAAAACAAATATTTAGCATGAAAAAATACAGGAGGCAGAGGACCTCAGAATCAACCTCTTGTTCATTACTCATATTCTACCAAAACCTGTTACAACAGGGGGGTAACAGGGTGGTGTTTCACAAAGATCAAAAATTGGACTTCAATTATGGAAAGCCGTTAGCATCTTTGAAAATATTTTTGAAATTATTTTAAAAAGCATAGATTAAAATCATTCATATTTTCTATTATCATGGGAGATTTCATGTTCTTGAGGTGAAATTTATAAAAAATCTAAAATACTTGAATTTTTGCCTTTTAACATTTTATTTTAAGGCTACAAATGGCTCTCCATAATTTGTTAACACCCCCTGTGCATTATCCGTGTTAATTAAAGATAAACTTTAGTACTAGTAATGCGATTGCATTGTGAAAGAAAAGGTGTGGAAAGGATCAGAAACAGTTAATCATGTAGCATGTAAGTATTGGTGTGCACTGCAAGGTTCTGGAGTCATCAAAATCATAATAAATTTGACCGAGTCTTGGTAAAGTAACAAGCACTCACATAGAAAGCTATATGTGGGACAACACACATGGTGTCGGGGCTAGTACTACCTTGATTTCCTTGTCTTTCTATGCTCATTACTCAGCCAGTATACATTTTCTTCCAAAATTGTTTGGCACATGTCATTATTTGTAATCTTGAACATTCAGTGTAGGTTTCATTTGATTCTGTGAGAATTATTTTTTTTTTTTTACCAGTACTGGAGTTTATCTTTAATCTTGGGTGGTGTTTTGACAGGAAAAAGGATTAGAGGGTGGAGCTTTCATCTTACCTTGCCACATGCTCTGCAGTGATGTCTTCTCCAGGTCATGGTGAACTCACTAGTACAGATCATACACATGGTGACCCTACTGTCTGGTATCCACAGGGGTGCTTTACGACCCAGGCTTGATGTATCACCCTCAGCCAAACCCTGTTAAGAACAAGACAAACAAAAACTTAGTATCCAGTCCGGCAACATTTATCAGGAATCTAAATTCCAATTTAAAAAAAAAAAAAGTATTCCATAGAGCATGGTTAAGGCTGCAAAACCAGAAACATCCATAAATTACAAAAAAATTGTAGCATTGTGATTTATTGCATGGCATGAAACTTATGAATATCTGATCCATACACAAATTTAAATAAGTTTTATATCAAAGTTTCTTGTTGAAAAGTCATGGATGGTCTCATGTAGACCCATACAAAAAAAATCTGTCTTTGGTTGTGGTGTCCGCATCTGTACATCCCAGTGGTTGGACATTTTTTCTTTGATGCGGTCTTTGTTGTTCACCTAGTCTCTCTTAGCTCCTGAAGGGGGTTGGGTTATTCACACATCTTGCATTAATTTCAGGTAGCAACAGGTAAGAATGGTGCAAATAAAACCCTTTACCAGTATACTGCCTGAAATAATGCATGATGCTGATGATACTGAAGGTGTCGCTTCCTTCTCCCTCGTTGAGTGGTTCCAGTCTTCCTTCCCTCAAATCACATCCCCCAGACAGCAGAGTGATGCCATCATTTGCAGAAACGATTTTGGTTGTGGCCAAAAACAAAATACTTTGTCCATACAGAGATTTCCTAATGTTCTACACTTAGTACCAACTAATCTTGTCAGGACATGGTTACAATAATAATTCACACACTGTCACTTGCCCTTTTGCAAGATTACCTAAGCTAAGCAAATGGACTTACTTTATGTTCTGGTTTGATAAGGTCGAAGGAGCTTTTCTTGTTCTCGTACTCATTTATCGTCTTGGTGAGGGCGTTGTACCAGGCTTCACACTCCTCTTTTGACCTACAGGGAACATGAAGAAGAAAAAAAATCAAATAAATTTTCATTTCAACACAGAAGAGTACACTTTAAAGCTCATCTGTACTAGTGTACAGGATGGATTAGACCACCCTGCAAGGTCACTGGACAGGTTGTTATTTCATTGACTCGGCTCTCGCTTAACATAAGAGAAAGAGGATCATGGGGGACCAATGTTTGCCGATTATGCATTGTTTGTTATAGAGGGCGCGAGTAGCAATAAGTAGTACAGTGGGGCTTTAAGTATAAAATGTTTCAGGAAATGCAATTTGCTGTGAGCATATCGGCAGTTGGAACACTGCATCTATTTTAAGAAATAATGATAAACTTTACAAAATTGATCTGTTTTTCCATTCAGCAGGCATTGTTCTCTACAAATGCCTTTTATAGCCCCACTGCACTACTTATAGCTACTTGTGCACTCTTTAAAGCAAACAGTACCTAATTGGTGCCTGTTTGTCCCCCATGATCACCTTTTTCTTATGCTAATTGAGAGCTGATTCGATGAGATAACCTCCTGTCAGTGACCTTGCAAGGAGGTCCAATCACCCTGGTCAAGTGCAGACAGGCTTTTTTATCATGATAGAAGCTTATTTACAGATTCTTATAATTTTGTTCACAAGGGAAATTGGAGGTGACTTACGTTGCAAGCAAAGTGAACGATCTCTGTATGCTGATGATCTCCAGTTCATTGCTATCCTGGCTCTCCTGGCTGGATTGTCTTACCTGAAAATATAATAAAATGATGGGTAAGCATGGAGAGAAAGCTCAGCTCAAGAACAGGGCTAGATATCTATGACAAGACTTTTTATTTGACTCAAATAAAAGGCAATGTTCAGGCCTTGGGAAACATTCTGTATGATTTGAACACTAGATCTCTGAATGCTGCAGAACACATTGAATTCTCGCTACCCCAAATAGCGATTCTGCCGAGATTCGGGGAAAATCCTGAAAACGCGCATTGCATTATGGGATAGCTTTTCGACATTACAGCTTCCTGTGCAGGCGCTATATTACTAGGCGCGATAGCGCAAACGTAAAACGCCGTCGCCACACAACGTGTATGCACCGAATATGTCGTCTGCTCGGTCTTGTTTTTTTTTTGCAAATATTTCAACGTTTATTTGAACATTTCATTCATTGTTTTTTGCGTCTTTTGACATCAGTGACGATGGTTTTCTTTTGTGAGGCTGCACAGTGCTGGGCTCATGATTCCAAGCGTAAGAACCCTGAAAAATGGGGGTGGATGAAGGCCGTGACTTGGGTGAAATTTCCCACCGAAGCTGGAACACGAGCGACATGGCTGCGCTTGATTCGCCGCAAGGACAATCTTTCCTGTAAACTATTTTTTGCTTTTTATTGTATATTCAAATTGAATAAAAACAAACTAAATTTAATGCATATATTATAATCTGTACAAATTACACTGATTGGCATCGATTTTAGCGTGCGTGAAAACTCTGCACAGCGAACACAGGCGCTAGCGCCAGCGGGATGGGACTCTATACCGGAAGTTGTAGTGACGACCCGAGAGAGTGAAAATTACCTCGTCTCGCGAATTTCGAGATTTTCGTACCTATTTAGGGTAGCGAGAATTACAGGGTCAATTTCATACAGGTTTTAACTGAAAAGTGAAAAGTAATTCCCTTTATCCCATAAATGAATTATAAATATAACACTACATGTGAGAGAGCTTATTGAATGGTTGAGTGCTTTAAAGTTCATCTGTACTAGTTTGGCCAGAAGGAATTGGACCACACAGCGAGGCCACTGACCGGTGGCTATCAAATACTCAACTCTCAAATAACATAAGAAATAGAGGATCATGGGGGCCAACAGGCACCTATTATGGAAGTTTTCTATATAGAGGGAGCAAGTGGCTATAAGCAGTACAGGGGGGCTTTAAGTAGCTCAGAATTGAACCATATTACTCACCTTCATTCCTGCAAGAGAGAGTACATTGTTGAGTTTGTACTGACCAGGAGGGAATGGTGTTGTGTGGAGTAGAATATCACTCAGCTGAAACAGGGAAAAAAAAGAGGACATTTTTACTGATCAGTACACAATTCCTTAGCTATCAAAGATTTCTTTCTCTCAATGAGGAAATTATAACTTCACAATTACATCCTGTCAAGATGTCTCAGAGTATCAAAAATTACAATAAAAAACAATAACTTCCTTCCTTTTACAATTACCAATTAGTGAATACAGGATCTTTGACTCAAATAGAACATTGCTCAAGTGGAAGACTTCACATATTGGACATAAGGACTTATTTATCAATAATGAATACAAAGTCTGCACTTCAAGATGTCATATTTTACTTACCAAGAAGAATTTCCTTGGTTGGTTTACCCTTCTTGACATCTTCAGAAGTTCTCCTTCCTTGATGAATCTCTGAAAAGAAGAAAAAATGACAGAATAAATTTCAGACCTCCATTGATCTTCATTTCAACATCAGGAAGACAAAGTTAACCAAAAGGGTTGACTGAAAGAAACAATCTACCAATTAAAAGGATGGAATTCATGGCCCAGATTCATACAATCTTACTTCGCTAGTTATCGCTAGTTAACAAAGGCTGTAGTACAAAGTCAGAGGACAACTAAGCTTGGTAAAGTTTTAGAAATATATCAATTTGGTATTTTTTGGTCTCCCAGTCTTGGCCACTTTACACCATCAACCAAGAAGATCAATCCTCTCAAAACACATCTACATATGTTACTGACAGCGTTATTCATTTTTTATGGTTGCATTTTAATTCCTCTGATGAATGGGGCATAAAAGCTAAAAACCTAATAAGTGGTCACAAAAAATTGTTTACATCCTATACATTCATTCAAAAAAAATATATCAATTCATTCATCTTGAGGGTATACTGTTAAACAGAACCATTGCACCGGGAACATTGGAATTCATACTTGTTACAGAATGTGAAGTTACTCACCCTGCCTGGTTTGACAATCTCTTGGCTACCAATCATACTGTGTTGGATAGCAAGAAGTTTCTCAAAATTGTCCTGAAAGAAAGATAGAAAAGAAGGAAAAGATTGATGAGTGTCTGTGAGCTACTCTTTTTTTTAAAATTCATCTTCAGCAGCAGCACATGTTCCTCCTCGACTTAGTTCAGAAGTATTTTCAACTGGTATTTAACAGTCGCTTCAAGGAGACATGAAATGACGGATGATAGTGTACAAGTTAAGTTATTACTGTAAAGTTTCTCTGTGTAGATGTAATTTCTGCTGGCAGTTAACGGTCTCTTCATGGAAACGTGAAATGGCAAATGATATTGTACGAGCCGAGTTATAAAATTTGTTATGGTAAAGATTGTAACAAGCAGCTCATTGCTTACTCTCTCAGAATTATGTTTTTTTAAATATTGATAATTCCAACTTCTCATAAAGACAATGTCATTATTTATTTTCATTCAAGCTTTTGATTAATTTCTAGTTTGTTCCAGAAGTGCTTATAAGATGTTGTGACCACCTACCCCCTGTCTCATACTCTCATTGGCATGGTTAGCGACTTCACTCACGATGGCCAGAGCATCTAGAAAGAAAAACGAACAACGATCGAAAAATCAATTCACTGGTCATGCGCATTTAAAGATAAACTTGAGTTCTGGTAATGGGATTGCGTTGTGAAAGAAAAGATGTGGAATGGATCAGAAAAAAATGATCATATAGCATGTAAGTAATGGTGTGCAATGCAAGGTTCTGGAGTCATCAAAATCATCATAAATTTGGCAGAGTCTTGGTAAAGTAACAATCACTTACACAGAAAGATGTATATGGGACAACACACATGGTGTCGGGGCTAGTACTACCCTGATTTCCTTATCTTATATCTCATTACTCAGCCAGTATACATTTTCTTCCAAAATTGTTTGGCACATGACATTCAGTGTAAGTTTCGTTAGATTCTGTGAGAATTCATTTTCTTTTTTTACCAGAACTCAGTTTATCTTTAAATAGAGGCTTCACCTCTGCATTAGTGGCTACCTATAATCAATATACAACCAGGTACTTAAATTATTTATGTGATATTTGACAAGAAATTAAAAGTGCACTTCCCATTTGAGCACAAAAGAAGACATTTTCCATTTGATTGAGGCATGTACATGTGGAAGAAGGGGATGGGAAAGTGATAATTCATGTTCATCCAGGGCGGGGGGGGGGGGGGGGGGGGGATGACCCAAATGGGCAAATGACATTCTTTAGGACAAGGCATTGTAGAACGATTTGGACTTGCTAATCAATCAAGATTTTTTTTTTTAAACCTACCTGTTGTCTTCTCAAATTCCTCTGAGTCCGCATCTAGTTGTTTCAGATAATCTGTGATAGAAATAGAAAGGGAAAATTATTAACCTGAAAAATGGATGGCATTCAAAGTTTTGTACATGAACTTTCAACGTAAAAAACCAAAGGAACATTATCATTATCATACAATACATAACAGTTTATGTTGAAGAAGTTACAAGGCAACTTTGAAGGAACAAGAAATTGTGGATTTGTTCATGGGTTTATGTCATTTGATATCGTAGAGGGAAACCCCCACTTGAGTTGTGACCATGCTTGGTTTCGGATGGCAATAAAAAATAACATTATTGCTCGATGCCCACCATTCAGGAAGCATAACATGATTAAAACCTTAAGTCTGGTTTATACAAAGACGGAATAAGATTTCTTTGATTTTACACTTTCTTTTAGGCAAAAAAAATGCAATTGAATTACTCTCATTACAGCTGCAGATGGTATTGCAATTCATTCATGAAGTATAGGGACCATGTCGCATAAGAGAAACGGATCCCTGTTCTTAAAAAATGATTCTAGACGACAACAGGTATAACCTTTCAAACATTCAAGCATGAGCAGGCTCTGAATCACACTCGAAAGAAGATGTAGTGTTAGAACAGGATATCCCTTTGAAGGGGGAGGGGTAATGATTACATAACATTGTTACCTGTGAGTAGCATTTTGTACTGTGGTATCCTCTGTACTGGTTTCAGCATGTAGTGCTTGATGGCTAGACTCCTACACCGTTCACTCATCTATATAACAAAACAAAAACAGACATTGGTTACTAAAGAACCTATCAAACAATCATTTCAATAGGAAGATCTACCAGGTTATTTGAATGTCTCAATTATGCTTCTGACAACCCATATTAGACACATGAAAACGAACTTCATGAACTGGTATTTAGTCAAGATGCTACGTTTTGAAAAATAAGGTTGAAATCCACCTGGCGCTTTTTTTATTAGTCAGTCAGTTGTAATTACACTGTTTGAGAGAATATTTTGTGACTTTCTAGTAATCCAATAGTATGAAATTCTCCAAGATACCCTAGGTATTCTGTCCCTAATTCCATTGCAGGTGTAGTACCAAGATCATATAATGCATGACAGTTATCATGCAAGGTAAAAAGTTCTTGCCATGATTGACATCTAATAATTATACTAGATTTAAAAAATCTCTTCAGACTCTTTAATATTTTTCTTCTTCCTACCTCAAATTCCTTCACAACCTGAGTGAAGACTGGGTTCTTGTTGCATGCATCATCAAAGGCTGCCGTGATGCGCTCAAAGTCCAGGATGTACGTAGAATAAAGCTTCAAGAAATGGCCTTTGGTCAGGAAGATGTCCGCAATCTTCGGAGTGGTAGACCTACAAGCAACGATTAAAAAAAAACAGGAGATTGGTGCCAAGCTTGGAAAAAACATCTTTAAAAGCAAGCTATCGTTAACTTATCTAAAGCATTCTTATTTTGGACATGTTATATTTCACCTTCTTAAAAAAAAAGTACACTTTCTGTACAAAATCCATCTAAAAATAAAGGTATGCTACGATTTGATCCTTCAGGGTTTAACATCAACCGGTGCCAAGTATACATGCCACCCCCCCCCCCCTCCCCTTTCTCAGAAGATTCCAGACCTCAACGTTTTCAACCTGGACCTCTTTTGAAAAGTTAGTGTTGAGCCCTAGATAACTCTCAAAATTGTTTCATGATGGGAGAAAACACGGCATTTTAATCATACCTTTCATTGGTTTGTTGCTAGGATGAGATGAACATAATCCATATATTTTTATTTCCTGACTATATATATAACAAGAACATCCTGTTGGCCTTTTCAGTTATATCACAAGGGTAGGCCTTTACCAATTTTGTCTTCAGTAGAGTATTGAACCTGAAGGTTCACTCTTAAGCTCATGGTACTCACCAATTCCTTATTCTCGTCTCAAGATCGGTGAGGAGACACTCGTTGAACATCTGAAGGTGCGGGAGATGGCCTACGATCTGATCTAAAGCCGCTTTCTCAATGACTGGCTTGCCTCCATTCTTCTTGCTTCCTTCATCAATCACCTGACGCAAGTCCTGTTGAAGGAGAAATTGGAGTGATATATGGGATGAGATTTGACTTTCCATTTAACAAACAGATTGATATAACTGCTGTACTGGTAAAGACAAATATTCAGATTTCTGAAGAAAATAAGGGTCAAAATCATCCTGTAAAATAACCCACCAACTAAAATTAGTATTAATTCATAACTATAGAGGACTAATTATGTACGTGTTTGTTTTCTGTTATATGATATATTTATCAACAAACAGCTGCCCACCCTTTCTCACAAAAACACAGTAAAGTTGGCAGAGCCCACTATAATGAAAACAAACCTCTATTTCAGATCATCCGACTAGAATTTCCTTGTCCTAAGGAACATAATCCACTATGGGCAATCATAAGACATGGAAATTACTTTTTGATTTATTTATCTTGTAAAAATTGCAAGAACATCAAGCAACAAAAAGGGCCTTAAAATAGTTTGAAATGTAACACTATTTATCAAACTTGTTCGGTTTAATGATTCTCAGTGGTTTATTAGGTGGAAATATATAAAGTTGTGTGATATGTGCAGGGCCGGGACACATGGGCACCCATAATCCAAGTCAGGACCCCCAAGATTTTAAGTTTTTACATAGGGCTCATGCATACAGATGGTAATTCTTGATCCCCTTCTAAAAAAGGTTAGTAAGGAGCCCTGATATATAGGTTATATTCAATCAAGATTACCTCCAACTAAGTAGACATAGGATTTTAAAAGGAACGTTTCTAGCTGACCAGTTGACTGTAGACACTAAACTTACCACATTAAGTAGTTTCAGGACGTTAACAAACACCTTCTCTGAGTCTTTGATCTCCTTGGCGACCATGAAAGCTTTCTGAGCCTTCCTCCCAAGACTCTGCAACCTATTCCGTGCCTCTGGGAGTCCGTCATCGTCGGCTCCATCCTCGGTGCCAGGGAGCTCCGCAACTCCAGCGTAGCTCCCTTCATCATCGTACTCCTCGGACAAGGAAGCATCTTCGTTGCCACTGCTGTCAGTCAGGCTACCACTGTGGTCGTCTGATGGTGATCTGTGAGCCCTGCAAGTAACAAATTGGCAACAAAGTTGAACAAACCTGTAACATCATTTCTCTTGTTATCAAATTACACTCAATTTGCTAATGTGATAATGCTGTGACTCTTAAAAAAGAAGATATACAGGAACGCATAGAGTTCTTCATTCATTGTTCTCTAATGTTTCTCAGTAGCTTATAAGTAGAAATTGAAACAGGGTCTACTTATTTTTAAACCTGGTTGTACAAAATACGATCATGCCAAGGTTAACTACAATACAAAAAGAAACTAACAATGCACTAGAACCAGGGAAAGAGCTAGGTAGGTTATCACATGCTTTGCATAACAATTTATAATCTGTGATAAAGGCCACTTCCTTGACAAAGTTTACACATCAGTGTATCAAGATATGTTAGTCAAAAAGGCACGACAGTACGAGTTTGAGAGTATATTTCTATTATCAAAATAGCAAAAAAGTAAAAAGCCATCAATATCCAGAAAATTGTCAGTATTACTGGTCAAATTATTTGAAAATGTGATGGTTGATGAAGTTACAGATTCCGTGAGACAAACTGCACACTGACCAAACAAGGAAATGACAAGACATATTCAGCCCTGCACATTAGAAACTGCCATACTCCATAGATACTCAAGAACACAACTAGGCTGATTATAATGTGTGCTATTTATACATACCAATATAACTGCAAGCTCTGAAAGTTCATTCTGTCAAATCTACAAAAACCATCGGGAAACCAACAAGATAAAGCCACATTCAGCAGTAAATGAAGACTCTACGTGTTACAGATAAGAAAGCATGGAAACAATGGCCACAGAGCTGCCATGTTGTTCCAAAAGAAAAAAATCCAGACTACAGCGAGTTTCCAGTCAACTGACTTTGACTTTTTCTCTCTCTCCCTCTCTCACCGGCAAAATACACACTCGAAAGCTTTCCATTGGACACGTGACGTACGTACAATGCTCAGAGTATCTATCTAGCCTATCAAAACAAGGTCTCAATGTTTATACCTTCGTGGAGGTTTCCTTCCTTTCTCTCTCTCATGATTTCACTGATTCCATCTCCTTCCTGGTGGAAGTTCACAAGGGTGACATACAACTTAGGCAGGATAAATGACTCAAAGACACAAGCAGTGTGGTGTTTCACCAGTCATTAAGCAGCATTGACTTACTGTAACTGCCAGAGGCCTTGTAATAACATGTATTTAATAACCTAACATCTATGTAATCCATTATCAATGTATACAAATTATACATTAGCAAATACATTCAAGACAGAATTTCTTTACAACATGAAGGGCCAAATCTTTAATTGAGTTATGCTAAATAATAAATATGCTTGTTCTAAGTCGTAACATTTCCCAAAATGTGAACAGTTGTTTAAGAAACGAGATTTATGAATTTCCAGCAATGCAACAAGTGTACTTTAAAATTTCAACGTTGTCCAAAATTTAACTACCGGTATTCATTATTCAACATTTTAAAAATGTTAAATTAGGAAATGAAATTAAAAGAAGCACTGAGACACATATCGCTTTCGTAATGACAATGATTAAATCCTATCTTCTATTCCCATTTTCAGTGTGAAGTAAAAATCTACTATCAATCGGTTCCAGGGCAACAGGAAATTATCAGGGTATACAACTTGTTGTTAAAATACACAAGAGCACCAGGAATTTGGCTAATATATTACCCTTGAAATTATCAACATACAAAGCTCTCGATAAATCAGTGAAAAATTTGAGGGTAAAAAGAAACAGAAAGGAAAGAAGGGAAGTCATTCACTAGCCATATCGGTGGTCAAGCCTTTTCTTTTTTGACCATCGTCCTTGTGCATATCAGTGTTCCCTGCAGGGCTGAAAGCAATGAACATTCTCGCAGAAGACTTTGACCTTTCTTTCCAGGAAACCAAGCCCATTGGCACAAGGGATAATTGACTATAATTACAAGGGGTCAAATTTTTTGGGGTTTCACTTAGGTTATTGCTGGTACCATGATTTCATTTATCTTCCAGATAGCAGGCTTCCCAATAAAGCAATTCACACCTTGTTTAATAAGAGAGTGGTCAAGCCATTGCTATTGACCTTTTAAAGCCAAGTTATGAATCATCATCATTCTAGTCCTTTGATGCAAATTCTTCCATTTTCCTATGAATATTTGATGTATTAAAATGAATACTTTTGCTAAAAATGGCTTACAAGGATAAAAATAATATTGAAAATTGATATACTGATACAAGATATGATTTCCTGTGTTTCTATGCAGAGAGGGATTTTGAAAAAATTCTACAATAAAACGACAAAAAAGTGTAGAACTCACAACGCAGAAAGAGTAGGCAGTAACGAGGATGATAGAGGGGAAAAAGCAAACTGATTTATAACGGCTTTTGACTTTTGAGCTATTCAAACTGTACTTTGAGCAAAAATAATAATTAATCAGTGATAATCACCAAGAAAATGAAACCTATCGTAATTAATTGTGTATGCTCACACAAGTCACAGCATTCACAGGTTTTGCCATGCTTCCTGCCAGGGAACCGACACATCAAAATCAGGTGATTTCCTCTACTTCCTTCTACTGGAAATTACTCAAAATATTTATTCTCTATCGTTCATAAAAACTCTTTAGAAAACTATCAATGAAGTCAGAAGTTCTGGTTTGGAAGTGAACGAACAGATTTCCGGTAAATCCTGTTGAAAAATATTCATGTACGAGGACTACATGAGTAACATGAATGATCATCATGTTTGTTGAGCACTTAAAGGAAAAAGTTAGATTTACGTATTTATTTGCAATATTCCTATTCAGAATACAGTACATGTACCTCTAAAAAGGACTACTTGTATGACTTTAGATATTGGTCTCAATCATGAGCAAATTATGGTCTTAAATTTATGAAATGGTTTGAAAGATATTGATGTCACGAAAGAAAAAAAGAGAGACCAGTATTTGCAAAGAGAATTGATAAAAGTAAAAACTATAAATTATATGATGAATGAAACCATCTTTTCCAGCATGGTAATACAATACATGGATGGTGAGGATAAAAAAAATATTTGGTATGAACATACAAAGGAACTAGCCATGGTGCAGAGCAGAGGGACTGGTCAGAAAAACCCAACACCAATGCACATGTCTCACCATGATTGGTCACTTCACACTCCATTGGTCACTCAAGCCAAACCCAGGGCTGACTGCCCATTGGTCAGTACACTCGGCCAAAGAGAGGCCTCGCTTGAAGAGGGCTATTACATAACACTGCTGCCATGTTGGCTGGGGCGGTGATATCTCCATCCAACAGCTAGGTGCTGTGTGCAATAAATGCAAGCACAGGGCACAAGGCTTGCAGAAAATTCAACATGGAGGGATAGATGGGGTGGGGTGGGGCAGAGGTTATTTTCGATTTGGCGGCAAATCCCTTTCATGTGGCCTCCAATCAATGGAGGCTTTGAGCAGTCCATGCACAAGGACAAAGGGGGTGTGTTTGGCTACTACACCAGACATAAGGAAATCTGGAGGGGTAATTGAAGCCATGAACAATGAGAATGCTAGCTAAGACAAGGACCTTGGTTTTTCTTGACCATGTGCTCTCCCTGACAATCCTTCACCTTTTATCCTTCTCTCTCACTCCCCCCCTCATCGGCCGCCAGTTTATAAAATGATTATTATCATTAAAAATTTCACACAACTTGCCAAATACTTCAATTTAAGTACATACCGATCTATACACTTGCAGTTCAGGTGGCAAACGCTATTATAAGCATATTCATATTGAAGTTTATTTCTTCAAATTTTCATTTTTAATTTTCATTATTTTAAAGTGAACCTTCTTGCCTTCTTTTGAACATATTGTTCAAAATCTGGTCTGTCTTGCAAAGTTGGAAAGCTGTCCATGACCATATTTGAAAATCCCTCATTCATTTCTCCTTTTCTGATCCTGCTGATCAGAAAATGTACTTCTCTGATGAAATGACTGTAATTAGAGAAGCTAGAAATATTAACTACATCATTTATCTTCACAGACACTCTTTCTCAGTTTCTTATCTCATCCACTGAAATATCCTTTTATCCAATAAAGAAATATCACTAATATGCGACACTCTCTAAAAAGCTCTTCCAACTGCATGTAATTGTAAACCTATACAAAAAAACATAAAACCTAAACATAGCATTCACACATCAACACCATGAAAAACAAAGGCAAAAGGGTTGGTGAATCACATAGATTCGATTACCAAGCTTTACTATTACTCCAATGAATGCAATTGTTTGAGGAATCCATATCAAATGAGACTTTGAGAGTATATTACCTGTAGTTTTCATAGTAGAAATACTCCCTAGTGCAGAGAAGTTACGCCACAGGTGCAGGAAACGCAGAGGAAATGACACTTGAATGAAAGAATTCAAGGAATGAAGCACATTTCCTTGAGCACCAAGTGTCAAGAATCTTGGATAAAAGTCCCATGCTTGAGAGTCGACCCAGCCCAAACTGGACCAGTACCTCACTCCAGCTCTCTCTCTCTACGAAGGGCACGCCAAAAATGATAGGGCTAAAAGTTTCCTCTACCAGCCCAAGCCTCCTTGCTGCTGACTGTAACTGTAAACCAACGCCACCAAACTGACACTCCACAAACCCCACCACAGACTTGCTGCATGCTTAGTATGCAAATTCACATTCTTTGGGTGGCTCTCCCTCTCTCTCCCTCTCTTTCTCTCTGTGACTCTTTTGTCCTGTTCCTCCTTCTTCGTAGCTCTTTTCTTTCCTTCTGTGGCCTAGCTGAGCTGAGCAAGGCATTCTATGTATTTGTCACTGCATAACAAATGTAAACTACACACCCTTCTTTCCCTCCAATAAGTATGCAAACCACAGATAGAGATATCAATGTGTGTGTGTCCTCTGTGTGTGTGCCTCCAGCAATAATAATATATGCAGGGATTAGGAGAGGATGATTATGTAACATTGCATAATAAAATGCTGTGGCAAAGGGCAGGCTGATAATAAAAAACTGCAGGCAGTTGTAATAATACACAGCTCCAATGAATGCGATGCATAGAAAGCCTGGTCTCAGCTGTTGTAATAGGAAAGGGGGGCCTTGTGATGGGAATGGGTAATGAGTGTACGTGACTGCTAATACAGGCAGCTGGCCAAATAAATCTGAAGAAAATGGCAGCCATTCTTATATCCTTCTATTAAAATGCTTCCCCCAAACAGAAAGCCATGTTGCAATGTAATGCCAACTAAATGACGAAACAGATGTTATTAAACAATTGAATCAGTCATGTATGTATTATGCAAGATCATTGACCCAAATTAACAATTCAATTTTAAAGAATATAGGCCTACATGACTATTCCATAAACATTTCCACTTATTCCAGAAAATCAACTCCTGCATTTAGCCATTTCTTCTAGGTAGGCTTATAATCAGAAAAGTCTTTAGATGCAATACTCTACCATCATTCCATAATTTGTGATAAATGCAGAACAAAAGACCTTTAAAAAGGCTCACTAGGCTTCATAATCTACACCTCACATGGACAGAATATAATCACTTTTGGTTTGTTAAACATTTGACTTTGACATTTGAGTACTCCAACTTTGACGTGCATTGCACAACCATACACATGGAAATATCAGTACCTTAAATGAATTTTAGCAGACCCTGCATTTCTATCCTTTTTTCTGTGGTACCCGGTAGGTTCCATTTTGCACTACAATTTAGGATACCTCATTTATTCACAAGGTGCTGCATGGAACAAAATGGCTTTGTCTCACAAATTTGAACAGGCCTATATCTATATTCTTGATCTCAAATACAATACGAGTAGGTAAAACAATTATGAAATGTTGCTTCATTGTACGATCAATTTACAAAAGACTACATACAAGCATGGATAGATATAATAGAGTGGTGAAGTGTGACGTCATCAAAAATCTATTTTTGGAATTTCTCAATTTTTTCTTCATTTTCCGATTGGGCATCAAAAATAATGTCCAAGTGTCAAAAACCAATTGAATGTTATGAACCAGAGCAATATAACACTGAGTTCCTATAGGACATCTATTTATTCAGATGGTCATATCTCAGCCAATACTTAAACATATTCAATTGGTTTTCGACATTAGGACATTATTTTTGATGCTCTATCGGAAAATGAAGAAAAAAAATTGAGAAATTCCAAAATAGATTTTTATGATGTCACAGCTTTTGTACTTTCGGTACTCTATAATATACCTCTAAAGCCTTCACCTCCCTGATAAAAGCATATGTTTGATCTTAGAAAACATGAAGGTCAAATGTGTATAAACAAGATTTCTTTGTTTAATGATTTACTGGATGTCAAAGAGAGATAGAAGTATCGTTTCACGAAGCCCATGAATGGTATTGATTAGCAAATATTGATCTTCTAGATTTCCTAATATCAATTTTCCAAATAAATAACATAATAAAGGTAAAAAAGAAGACAGCAGAAGACTGATCCACAAACAAGATTGCTAACTCTTGAAACAAATTACTTGTTGCCATCTACACTATATCTAACTATCATTTGCTATGGTTTGTACCTTTGTATTGTATTCCATTGAAATTTTAAGCAGGAATTTCAAGTACATATCTTTTAGGAAGTTTCTTTTACAAAACAAGATAAACAAGATAAACACGATTATCGTGTTACTTCATCAGTTCCATGACAGTTCCCATTGCGATTCCTCAACTAATCTCTTTAGCATTGGACACTCACTGCATGTCATCAAAAAGGAAAGGTGAATTGATTTTGGGGAGCTACAAAGAGAAAAGAATTTGTTGTTTCTTTTTTCCATGTATTTATCATTTCAATGTCAAATACCACTTTAGTGGAATTTCAGCATTCCTTGTCTAATTTCTCCATAGATGTCCAAACTAGCCGTTCATCAAAGGGTGAGTCACTCAAACTTTTACGACTTTAAACACATCCCAAGGATGTCCACAGAATTATTGTTTCCCACTATTTTAAAACCAAAATTGCCCTACTGCCCCGCAACAATAAAGCGAACAAATCTTTCATTTGAAGAAAAAACACAGCAGAAATGCTATAGTGTAAGACAGTCCAGCAATGTATGTAAATTCATGCATCCTTCTTCAACAAATGCCTAGACCACACACTTAACAATCTGACTACAATCCAATTAATGACGCATTTATAATAGCAAATTGATATAAAAATTTCAGCATGTAGAATCTTAATGACTGAGGAGATGAATAGTCATATATATAATTAATATAGTCTTTTTTCAAGAGATTTGAGGTTTTGAGGTTTTGAGGTTAAGGTTTCTTTTGGTAATTATCCAAACGTTCAAATACAATAATAATAAGAAGAAGAAATGATGTTTATCGAAGATCTTGAATGGATAAAGAGGACCAGAAAATAGCACAAAATGCTAAATCATGGTTCCGTGTAGAAGGAAAAGCTAAATCTGCTTAGAATCGGCTTTTATCTGACTAGAACTTAGAAGAGTAATATAGTATAATAATAATAATAATAATAATAATAATATTGGGTATTTATATAGCGCACATATCCACTCTGCAAGGCGCTCAAGGCGCTCCCATATTACCCCAGCTCTGCTAGGCTCACAGCATTCAAGGAATTCCTTCCTACCATTACCAGGGGTGATAGTGAGCACTACAAAAAAAATAGGTTTTTTTTTTTTCCCCTCAACCACGCCCCCCTTGAGTAAAAAAAGAAAGAAGAGGATTATCGGGTAAAAAATGGCATCTATCAACATTCCCCCTTTCAAGTAAGAAAATTGGGGAGAAAATTGGGGAGAAAATTGGGGAGAAAATTGGGGAAAAAATAGGGCAAAATAGGGAAGAATAGAGAAAATAAGGGGGGAATTGGGAAAATCAGGATAAAATAACTAAATAAGGAAGGGAAAAAAAATCTGGTAAAATTTTTTTTTTTTAAAACAATCTGGAAAAATAAAAAAAAATCGGGGAACCGATTTAAATCAGGTTTTTATCAGGCCTGCATTACCAATTTAACACCTGGGTGGAGAGTGGCAAATGTAGATTAATGTCTTGCCAAAGGACATTAGTGCTGCGACGACTTATCCACTAGACCACAACACCTCTACATAATACCTGCACTTCAATTTTGATTATTGGTACAGTGTAACATTATTGTAACTTATAGGTAGATGATGTTCGTTTGGATTTCCATAGCTAATACAACTGCTGAAATCGCATCGCAGTCGGATTATATAATGTGCGGTGAGAATTAGACATGAGAAATTTGCATGAGAAACATGGCGTTTGAAATTAGAATAGAATTAGATTGGCTCTTTGACTCATCACTCATATGGAGCATTTGGAACAGCTGATAAATTCAGATTTAAAGAGACAAATGAATTACTTTGGATGTACTAGTACTATCAAGGCATTATATTACCAGTCCTCCCTGAAACAAACCTAATTGCAGGCCTACAATACAATAGGTATGATAAAAGATAAAATCATCATAACAATTAATAGACCATTTGTGTAATGCAACAAAATCTAATGCATACATCTTTGTGACAATTAATTCATTCATCTGTTACAAATAATTGTTTTTTCAATAGTCAAAATGGGAACTGCATACATTAGTTGTTGCTAGGTAGGACAAACATTATGGCTTGCCCTACCTAACAACATAAAATAATATATGCAACTTGCATTCTGACTATTAAAATACATTTATTCATAACAGGTGAATGAAATAATTCCCATAGGAGCAACTAAGTATACATTATGTTACATTACGAAAATGGCTTATTACCTGTACTTACAAAATGTACCCAAATTCTGAGAATACTGCTCGAACATTTCCTTCACCTGATGTTTAACCTTCATTTTGATGGACTTGGCAATGATAGACCTTCTTTTTGTATGCATACCTCTCAGACAAAATATGCAAGTATCTAGTAAGGATTCAAATGCTTGCAGATGGTTGCCTGACATAGCAAACTCTTTCTTTCACTCTCTCTCAATCTCTCTCTCTCTCTCTCTCTCTCTGTCTCTCTTAGTCCCTAGTAGGTGTTGAAATGCATAGGTCATTGGCTCGATCCCAACACAGCACTAAAGTCTTTTGGCAAGGCATTAATCTACATTCGCCACTCCATACCCTGGAGAAAAATGGGGACCTGGTAGGATGACGAAAGCCCTCACAGTGACCATATGGTATGAATGCTTCTCAAGGAGTGGAGATGGTACACTTTAAGCATGTCTGTAAAGCGCTTAGAGACAAAATTTATTTCCTATTTAAGCGTTATATAAAACCAGATTATCACTAGGAATAGTATCAGAATACTTGATTTTAATGTTAGACAGCTCTATTACAGCCAGCAAACACTTTCTCATTACAGTGAGTAACTAAACTTCAGAGAAGACTGAAAATAAACAATTGATAATCAATATTACCTTTCCATGTTCTCGCTGCCAACCGACATGTCAAAATAGCTATGGCTATCATAAGATGCATCAGACCGAACACTTTGGGTTCTCTTTGGTTTTTGTGGGGCTTTCCTCCTGGGTACAGACGACACCCGACTTTTAGGTTCCACGGGAGGGTGCTCTGGGGTAAATACAAGGTCTAGTTCAGGATTAGGAGGGGTGTAGGGGGTGAGACTGGAATGTTATTTGCAGGCATAAATTCTGGATACACATACTCATTTTCAAACAGTTCCTCTTCTTCTCCTCTTTGGTTGGGTTCTAAGTAAAGCCCATCATCAATGTACCCGCTTGCTCGATTTGAGCTGTCTTTTCTTGTCTCTCCATCGCTGCTTGAAGTTGGCTCTGTGTTTCTGGTAAGTGTGGCCCTTCTGGGATCTGGAATGAGTTCATAGTCATGGTCTCTACTGGATGTATCCGAGTCTTCACCGTCTTCCCTGTTCGGAGCATTTGCTTCAGTGTAGATGTTGGTTAGGTCCTCCTCCCCATCATCATTATTTTGGGGTAGAGCAGGCTTTGGTGAATTACTACGGCTATTTGAGGATGTTTTGGTTGGGAGAGCCATCGGTCTTGGTGGAGCTGGTCTTTTTGGCTTTGGGGTTGGAGAAGGTTCTGCAGGAGCTGGAGACTTTGGCTGGACTGGTGCTATTTTTGGAGATGGCGACTGTGCACGTGGTGTTGCAACATTTGGTTGAGGTGCACCAGGGGGAGGAGGAGGAGGAGCGCAACTAGGTCGTTTTGGGGAGGAACCCCTTCCCCTGTCTTTCAAGGTCTTCTTTGGAGAGGAGTGAGGTGAACGCCCATTGACAGGACTTCCTTGGCTCAAAGGACGTCCACTGATCTCCTGTGAGTTGCGATTGCTGGAAGTGCCATCCCTTTCTTCAAGGACAGAGGTAGAGGATGGTTTGTGGACAGGGCTTCCTTCTATAGAATTTCTCTGAGCTGGTATGGGAGGTTGTGCCTTTCTAAGCTTCAGCTGGGACACTGCCGCACCTGGCGGCTGCTTTTCGGTTTCTGGTTCAGATTCTTTTGCTATCAAGGTCTCTTCACTCTTAGACACTACTTTTTTTGGCTGTTCATTGGTGGATGTCTTTGATGGGGTCAGTCTGTCCTTATGCTCTGGTTCATCATCATTCTTTGGCTTATGATTTGCCATCTCTTCGCACGATTCACTGGTAACAATTTTTTCTCTTCCCTTTTCATCAATCTGCTGCTTTTGCTGGGGCGTTAGGTCAATAAATTCCCAATCTGAGGTATCAGGGTTCTCATTGTCAGAACTACAAGTAACCTGGTTGAGTTTTTTGCCCCTGATTGGTGAATTTTGTTTGCTCGTTCTACTTGATTCTGTTTTGACTTTTTCCTTTGCCTGTGAAGTCATATCAATGGTTTTGGCTCTGATTGGTTTTGGTCTTGGAGGTGGGCTCTGCAGCGATGCTTGATGAATCAACCCTTGAGGTTTACTTGGTGGAGGAGGCCGTGGTGGCTTTGGTTTTTGTTGAACCTCACCGTTAGATACCTTTCGCTTATCCTTGGGTGATTTCATGCTATCAAAAGCTAGTTGATCACAAGACTTCACAGCTCTCCTATTTCTCTTGAATGTACTCCTTTCATTGTTACTATTGTCTGAACTATCTCCAATTTTGCCACCATTCCTTTTTTCTCCTTCACTTTGAAGTTTTGTATGTCTCTCCAGTGACTTCTGTTGGCAAGATGTCTCTATGTTGCTCTCATCACTTCTTATCACATCAGTATTCAACTCACAGTTTGGATCACTCTCGGACATACTCTTAGCACGTCTTGGTGGCGCTATAGGATTGCGAGGGATTGTTTTCCTTGGAAGGATAGGAGGAGCTTTAGGCTCCTCTACAGGCTGATTAATCTTAGTTCCTGAAGAAACTGGAGAGGTTGGCTCATAAGTTGTTGATTTAAGAGTACTATGTTTCTCAGTAATATCCTTGTTGTTGTTGGATGGCTCACCACTAGAAGGCACAACTTCCGAAAGCTCTTCTGATTTATTGCTATTTCTTTGTGGAGGGTCCTCCTTAGGTACTTCGGTGCTTTGCTGCGCTGGGGGTTTGGATTTCACAGTTGGTTTGGAAGGAGAGCCCTGTGGAACAGGTATAACAGAAAGTTTCTTAGGTGGAAACGTTGGGCGCTGAGGTGTTGCTTTCTTTCCATTCTCAGAAGGTAGCTTTTCATTATCTTTATCAAAACTAGCGCTATCAATGGAACACATAGTGTTTCTCTTTGACAGCATAGCAAGACTAGGTTTCTTGGGACTTATGTGTGGCTTTGGTCGATGTGTAGGGACACTGGTGTTTGCATCTCTGTTCTCTGTTTCTATCTTGGTGCCTGTTGATGAATCATTTTGCTCAGCGCCTTTGGTGTCTGATGATACAAAACTTTGCTGTGTGTCTGATTCTCCATCTGTAACTGAGCTGGAAGATGCAGAATAGTCTGACATGGAAGAACTGGAGCGGTGCAATGGAGCTCGCACAGGAGACCATTTAGGAGACGTTCGTGGGCACACTTTAGGAGTGAGGTCAGATGAACCCAAGGTCAATCTCCTGACAGGTACATTTGGTCTCTCGCGAGGACTTGATGTGGTACCATTTGTGACCACATTACACTCATTGCCATTGGGTAATGTGGATGACGATAATTCTTCTGCAGGTTGAGATCGGTCCGATTCTTGTTGAGGGATGTTGCGCTTCGGCAGCACTCGAGGCCTGGGACTTGGTGCCACCTCACCTGGAGTGCCATTAGCTTTGATAGTCTTCCGTGGCCTCGGAGTTGGTCTGCTTGGACTACCTTTGGGTTTGGAAGCCTCGGGGTTGCTGGTCTGTATCTGTGGTGTCACCGGAGAGGAATCATCATTGGTTATGGTATCTGAGGAGGAGGTACTGGTGATGCTCTCGATGCTATCTCCTTCGATGAGTGTGTTCCTTGGTGATGTTACAGCAAGTCCTTTAGGCTTCGGGGCAAGGGATGGCTTCTTCGGGAGCGGGGGATGAGACGGTGGACTTGCAACCCCTGTTAAACAAAACAAAGAAAAGAGAAGAAGAGAATTGAGTCACAGTGCTAAATCATTCATACCACATGTAGCTTAATTTTGCACATTCACATTTTTTGCAAAAATAATGCACATGATAGCTGTGAAGCTGAAGAAGTAAATCAAATCATGAATCACTGCCTCCCTCCGAGTATGAAGCTCCCTTCAAACAACATAACAGGGACCAGAACGTTGTGCTTCTCAATACAGTAGGCATACATTTTAAAATTGAGTCTTTAATATTAATAGAAGCAAAAAATTCAACAAACTAATTTCTGAAATGTGATTGCTTTAATACAAGCTTGAAATCTTTTCTTTCTCCCCCCCCCCCCCCCCCAATTCTTGAGAAAAAAAATTAACCTTGGTCAGGCCATGTATTCATTTAGTAAAGATTTCTTGCATTAATTTCATTGCATATATTTTCAGGCAAAACATTCCCTAAGGAGTGCAAGTATAATGATTTATTAGGAGGGAAGCCAAAAATACATTGAAATGACTGCTTTCTTTACAGTTCTCTTTTTTTGTTGTTACCTCTCAATTCAAATCTTTTGTGAAGGTATTGAAAAGGTATTGAAAATGTAACCATATAAATTCTTCTATTTTTATTCACTGTCTTTCTTTCTTTTTGTATGTTTATTTTGCACTGATTAACAAAAATGCTTGGAGCGTCCACATAAGGGAGCAATTAAATATATTCATTTGTCAGCTTTATAATAGTAGCATTATATAAATTTATTTTCACTTCCCCTCTCACACCCCCCCCCCCCCACTCTCTCTCTCTCTCTCCCTCTCTCTCTCTCTCTCTCTCTCTCTCTCTTCTCACACACTCTCTCTCACACACTCTCTCTCTCTCTCTCTCTCTCTCTCTCTCTCTCTCTCTCTCTCTCTCTTCTCACACTCTCTCTCTCTCTTCTCACTCTCTCTCTCTCTCTCCCTCTCTCTCTCTCTCTCTCTCTCCCTCTTTCTCTCATTTTTTTTCTCTGTAAATGTCCTATGAAGGGGATTTGAAATCTGCTCCAGCGTATTGGGTCTGTAGGGCCTATTTACAGATCCCAAAGACCATTTTGAAAAACCAATGATTTTTTTTGGTTAACAGGTAGGCTCGAAAAGAGAAGGCCAAGCTCGATTCTGGCACATTTGTTGGATTTATACAACAAAGCGGAATGTAGCCAGTGCCCTGTTGCATAAAACTTAGCATTGATGGTAATCTTGCCATCAGTGGCAACTACCATGGTAACAGGGCTAAACAGCCAATCAAAATCAAGGTTTCCATGGTAGTTACCATTGATGGCAAAGTTACCATCAATGATAAGTTTTGTGCAACGGGTCCCTGGTCTTTTTTTTTTTAGCGTAACAGTCTACCATTTACACTACTGGAAAAACCCATGGAAAACCGTCAAATTTTGCTCATACAGGTTTTGGGCGTGAGAAGTGCGCATCTGCGCCTCGTCGGTGCTCTGCATATCCTGCATGCATTAGCGTGCACAGAGGCAAGGAGAGTCGACACGTGACAAAAACAGATATCTCATTGAAGTTTTCTTTTACACTGCAAAAAATTTAGCAGGCTTAAAAAAAAAAAACACACCTCTGGAGTGTTGTTTTTTTTGCTGGTGGTTGCATAGCGACTACTGGCGAAACACCGGAATCTGAGAAAAACTGACCATTTTAGGTTGCATTGTAAATGCAGCTGATGTTAAAAAGATATCATTCATAATCATTTGAGTTGTGAGTTGTGTGCAACTGGGTTTTACAAAGGATTTACAAGAGATATTGTCTCAATATCTCAAAGTCTCAATAACTAAAAATGGGGAACATAACATGCATACTGTGAGAAAGAGTGCTTCCTTTGATAGATTTGTTTAAATTTTGATGTCATCAATGTACTAATCAAATACGCATGAGCTCAATGCCTGTTAAGAGAATCATCAATTTAAACCTAAGAACCCTTTTTCATTTGCTCTAAATTCATTCTCTTACTGAATTTTAAAAAAAATGTTAGGCTAATTACTGGTTAACACATGATTTTTCAAAGCTTGCGAGCAGACCTATAACGTCTTACATTGTAAGTATTTCTAATGGACAGTTTGACTGATTTTGTTTAAAATGAGCTCTTGCTGTCTATTTTCCCCTTTATTTCTGCATTATCTGAATCTCATTACTATAATGTACTTCATTAAAGGCAATATTCAACAGGAAATAGCAGATTCAAAGAGTTGCAATGCATCAGCGCCGCTACACGCGGTTAATAACACGTTCCTGGGTGCTAATCACCAATCAAGCGTTGATTTCTCTTTGCCCTGTTATGTAATAAGCAGAACAAAGCCTGCATAATATTAGGTCCATGATGATATACAGGGCAGCATTCTAATTATTTGCACAATTGATTTACCAAGGAGCTTGCGTCATTCCATTTAGAAATAGTGGAAAGAAGGAATGGGGAGGTACTCTCAAACAAGCTTTTCATAGTTTCAAGCATACACAGAACAATGCTTCAATATCTCGCTCAAGTCAAGATGGGAAGATGGCATTTAATTTATATCATAAACACTTGACTCTTACACTGAATAGTGTAACAAACTTATATTAATGAACTTTCAACTGTATATATTTTAAACTTAGCTTATATCACTTCTGTAGTTGACGAAGGATCACAAGTACCTGATTTATCAATTCTCTTGATCACTCCTATGTAACTTTAATACTGACAAGGATTGAAGATAATAATGTAAGAAATATAAGCCTACACAAAAAAAATGTTGAGTAATAGTCAAAGAGGTGTTTTGTGCAGCAGCAGTAGTCGATAAGGCTTTCCTTGATTGTAATGTCAGATACATTATTTCACTCAGTAAGTTAAGATACCATATATGAGTTATTCTGTATCAATAATATTTACAGACACAGATGTATAAAAAATTAAAAAAAAGAATTTGCTTTTCAGTTCAATTTTACGAGATCTCCTCCAAACAAATAATTTTTCTCTCTACAAGCTTTCAATTCTAGAGTGTGTCTGATTCTTATTCATAAATGGTATTGGTATTAACGGAAATGTTTGATGTGTCTAAAGAGGTTTCATTAGTATGGCCATACATGCAAGTAATATGTTATTATCAATGACACTGTTTCCGCCTTTCAAAGGAATCAAGTATCGACGTGTGAAGTTTGCAGATTGGTACAATTTCAAATATGACGATTCAACCAAGCCTATAAAATGCTATTATGTATAGGCCTACTTTAAAGACACATCTCTCTGAATTATACAAACCAAAATCATCTAGAAGAATACAGATCCGTGCAACACGATTCTAATCTCTCTTTTGGGAGGCCATGAATGCTTGTCTTTAACGAATCAAGGCATTCTTAATTAATCACGCGGGAATTTTGTTTTATCTCTAATGCCTTCGTATTTGCACGATGCTGCCTAGGCTACACTCTGATAATTTCTACTAATCCCAGCTTAGCAGAAACTATCTTACTCATATCAACGACGAAGCATAACAACTGAAAATGACCTTCAATATCATATGCCTTTGAAATGCCTGGAGGCTGGACGATGCTGGTACCATGATAGTGGAAAAATAATAATTCTTGACCAATGATACCTTCAAGGCTTCATGACAAGGGAGGGGTATTTGCATGGATCTAAGGGCATGTTCATGCTTCACTTTTTCTGGCCAGAATCAGGCATCTGTTACGCGTTTAGTTTAAAACACGGTTGCGTCCATGCTTACTTTTGTAGAATCACCGAAAAACGGCGATCACGATCGCTGATCGTAAACTCACAAAAAGATGCGTTTACAATTTGTAAACGCGTTTAAATGGGGTCAACGCACTGACCTCTAGTGGGTCTACGCATGGACCATGGTCTATATAGCATGCGCATTTCAAGGTTGCGAATCCAGCTGCTAGGCCAATTAAGGCCACCAAGGGAGAATTGCCTGGAGAAGTGAGCATGAACAGTACACCGTGGAACTGAGATTACGATGAGCGTTTACGATGAGCGTTACAAATCGCTCATTCTACCTTCAAAATCAAGCATGAACGCGCCCTATATCTCTTATAGCTCCATGGTATTTGTATGACTACTGATAGAAAGTTGAGTTCTGGGAAGAGGTGATAAATAAGTTGTGAGCATTATCATTGTTATTATGCAATTGTGAAAGAACATCAGATAAAAAATGTTCCCTGAAAAGCATGGCTCTTCAAATGCCTTAATATTCTAAATATGGCATGTAACATCATAAAAAAATCGGGACAGATATTTATGCCACATGTTTGTGTAGTCCTATATCTTTCTGCGTATAGTGTTCGTAATTTTACCAAGACTAGGCCAAATTTCTTATCATTTTGAGAACTCCAGAACTACAGTACACACCAATACTTATCAACCTTTTCTGATCGATTCCACAACGTTTCTTTCACAATGCAATCGCATGACCAGAACCGAACTTTATCTTTAAAGATAATACAAAGTTTTGGGAAATTTTGAGAGTTGGGTGGATAGTGAATCTTTACAATTTTGATATATTTGGATATATTTGGATGTCCCTGTGGATGTATTATAAGCACTAACAAAATTAACCCCTAAAACACTTCTGTTTTCGAGAAAAATTTAATATAAAAATTTACCGGTGCTCCCGGTAAATTTTGATAAATTTCAAATAGCGCCCAGGACCGTACAATGGTAGCTGCGACCATGACAATCTCAGAATATGTAGTTGTGATATATAATTTCCAAACGGGAATAGCTAATCGGTCGATTTTAATCAAGAAACAGTGTTTCATAGCTAAATTGATATCTTGACCGTGAGAGGGAGCTATACAACATAAAGAGTTTATTATTTATAATTTCATAATTTTAGACTCGATTTCAACCGGGACAACGATCAATTAATATTGTAGGAACGCATATGCTTCCAGTATGTTAATTTGAACCAAATTCATGACCCCATACCAAAACTTTGTAATACCTTTAATTGAGAAA